CTTTTTTAGGAAGCTCCACGTTCTGCCGAATCTGGCTGTGAAGAGTATTCAAGTCCTGCTTGAGTGAGTCAAGGCACACTTGCAGACTCCCAAGTGGCCTATATAAAATCAAGAAGGTTTGCTTTAGGTTTGCTTTAAGTTGGAAAAAAAGTAAGTCTAGAAGATAAGTAGTCTAAACGGTAAATATTAAGTAAAACTCTGCTATACGAAACATGGTGGTTAAAAAAAAACCTATACAATCAGTAGTTCCTTTTGTGCAGATTTGCCTTGTAAGACAGCGCCTAGGTTAACAACACTGAGATGTTTTGATTCTACACTAATCTGGTTCAATAGTCAGAATTTCAGTGCATTCAGTATTATTTCCAGTATAATCCAACACTCGCCTGCAAATTTTCATTTAATATTACCCAACGAACTGTGGTTAGTTGCTGATGTAAAGAACAAACTTTGGCACAATATTAGCCACAGAATAGCCTGATTTTGAGTGGCCTTCCAATTACAACCTTATACTGCCAAGTACCAAGGAAGCCAAGTACAAAGCATGATAGGCGTTAGTTATTTGTAGTTTTTAAATGCAGTGACTACAAGAGAAGGCAAAGTTTAACTACTGTTCACAAAAATAGAACCCACTCGTCATAGGTGGGGACCGTACACAAAAGTTTTGCTTATAGGCATCACGCGTGTAGTCTGCGATGCTCGAATGTTCAAGAAAAAAAAGAAGGCACATGATGGAAATACACTACATCTCACCTGCTAGTCGGCTGTGAAGAACACTGCTGGAGCAATTCCGTAATATACGAGTCGTCTAAGTCCGGCATGACATTAGGCAGGTCAAACTCGGTTGTCTCGGCCAGTTCTGTCAGCTGCCTCTGAAGCTCCTAGAAAATTGAGTCACAAAAATAATGATGAGGTTAATCAAGCTTTCTCCCATTGTAATTGATTTCATACACAGTAGACAACACCTCAGCACTACTAGAGCTAGGGAATCTTACCTCACTGCTTGAATTTGCATAAAGAAGTTGCACACAAAATATGACAGCTAAAGGCAAGAGTTATGAAGTTTGATTTAGAATCGGGGTCTCAAAATAATGTAACAGATAATGGCATTTAAATTACATCAAACTCTGGCTTATTTAAAACTCTCTATATGCTAGTGAGTGAGTTTCGTGCGACTCGTGCACGAATTTCGCTCTCAACTAACACATACCATGTTGCGAAACGGAAACACAAGTGTCCATAATCTGATGTTTCATGATAACACAAATTGTACTTATAATTATGTCAAGTGCTTATTTCATAATATGTTTCGTGATCTAAGATGTCTGACTGAGCTAGCTATGTTGCTTCTGCAGTGTTGTCGGCTAAGTACAAAACGAAGAACGGGACAAGTGCATTCATATGTGGGCGATGAAAGCGTCATTTTGCATTTGCAAAACAGACGCCTTTGCACAGTTTTTCTAAACTTTCCCCTTCTACGGTACTGAGGGAATGAGATGCAAAAACTCAGGGACTAAGTGATGTACATACATTGTTTGCAGCATCTGCTGTTTGCGTCATATCTGCATAACTCTAACTTTTTATTTCACATGTACACCAGAGGCAACATAACCTTCAGCAGCCGCATCCACAGCGACATGACGTTATCATGAACAGTTGCTCATGATATGCATTCGAAGTTATTAAAAAAAAACGTTAAGGCAGCTTCACACTAGGGGTGCCCAGCCTGCAGGAATTGCGGAGCTGGACAGCCTTCTTTCTCTTCAATTTTCTCTTTCTTTCCCACTCTCTTCCTTTCTTCTTGCATTGTCTATTTTTTTCTTTGTTTGTATTTTACTCCCCATTTTCCCCTTGAGTCATTCTGTTTTCACCTTGCTTCTTTTTCCAATTTTCATGTGCTCCAAACTTAACATCACAATCATGGCGCTCGTAGAACAAGAGGAAGGAGACTTTGCATTGGCGCGACCACGTACTAAATATGCAGCAGATGGCTATGCTATATGCGGTTTAACCTGACTTAATATCATCAACAAAGCACCGAAAGAACGGGACAAAAAAAAAAAAAGACTTCTCTCTGGCGTGAGCACGTGATCAGATGGCTATGGTACGTGTGCTTTTGTCTGCGTGATGCTAAGCAAAAACAACAGCATACAACAGCCAGGCCCACGCTTAAAAGTGTTTCATGCTTAAAACAATGATGTTGTGTTTGAATCTGTTTTGTACTGTACATGTGCTAGCATCCTTGACAATGAAATTATCAGGCGTCTGCTCATATAAGTATACCTTGCACTGCTCCATGCGTGAGCGCAGCACGTTGCGGAGCTCCTGCAGCCTGGCTTGGAGGGTGAACTTCTCCTTGCGCACTGACATCAGCTCGGCCGAGAGGTCAGAGTGCTGCTGCTGGGCCTCCTGATGCACGCAGGGGGAAGCAAGGTCATGTGGCAGGAAAGGTGAAGCGACGAAAAAAAAAAACTGTTTTCCTTTCATATCGTTTGAACAGGTAACCTCACACACTGGAAGACACGACTATGTTTTTCTTCTTCAACTTTTCTTTTTCTTTTCTTTACCTCTTCCTATATTGCCCTTTCTCCTCCTCACCCTGACTTCACTTACCCACACCTTGCTATGTAATGTACATATGTGATTATTCAGTGATTTACCCTCTCACATCTTTTTTTCCCTCTTTTTCACCCTAGCTTCCCTTTCCCATCCCCTCGCTAAACTTTATTGTACAAGGCTCCTGAGCATCCAAAGCATACAAAGCAAAGCTGGCGGAAGAGATTATTAAAAGGTAGAAAATGAAGAGAAAAGTGAACTCGGCAACTGTCTCTATCAAAGTAGGACACCTCAGAAGTGGTTTACAAGGGAAGCGATGAGGTAGGGTCAAAAGAGTTAGGCAGAAAAGTAGACGGGAGACGGTTAGAGAAGACTGCGGACGGGGGGGGGGGGGGGGGGATCAGTGAGGAGTCTTTGGAGAGAGGACATCGTAGATAGAGCGACCGTCAAGCGTGAAATCTGCGAAGTGTCTCCACAAAGCAAAGGGCCTCCAAAGGTGATGTGTTTGCTAGTGCACTGCTCACATACCTCGACCTGTCTGCGCAGCCCCGCAACTTCAACCTGGTGGGCGGTCTCGGCCAGGCGCACACGCTCCTGAAGTGCCGCCACCTCCTGCGTCTTCTCCTTCACATTCCAGCTTAGCAGCTGAAATCAATGAAAAAAAGTGAGACACAGCCCGTTCTTGCATCTAAGGTGGTAAATAAAAAACAATACTAGCAAAGAAAGCCATTCGAGTATGTACGTGCGTGAAGCAGTTTACATAATGCCTACTGAGTAAAAAATATTTTGTGCACTGCTTCTAACAAATACATACTCCTTAGCTGCCCTGTGAAGAAATTCAATTCAGAATTGCAGCGGCATGACGGGTGCCATGTTGTTTCTGGACTTAGAGTTCGACATGCAACGCCCGAAGTTTTTATGGTCAGTTGCCACATTGTAAAAGGTGGCCACAAACTGAAGCTCATGGCCCTGAACTGTTGTTTCCTCAGCATACTATCGCAGAGGTCGTCAGTGACATAAGGTGTAGGCATCGCATATGTGCTGCAGCATTAGGCATTAATGCTTTCACAATAACAACTCGTAAAGAGTGCCTATAGTTGTCCTTGTAATTTTTGCTGTCCACTGGCAATGTTTCTGTATAAAAGATCTCCCACAGGACATTGACTTACGCTTTGTCGATGCTTACCAATATTTCATTTACAATACAGGAATCAGATGCATGCACACAATGTGTGAGCACTTGGTAAGTCAAAACTGAGGTGCCAAACAAATTTGCTAAACTGCAAGAAAGAAATACATGACTTTGAATGGAGTTGGAATAGGGAATTGGAAATAGCTTTGTACATCAAAGGTTTGGTAAGATCTATCAAGGTTTAGCTGCAGTTTGAGATCTCCTTTCGATTAGTCACATCCCGGTCACCTTCATTTGCTGCTCCAGGGCAGGGTCTCTCTCGTGGGCATTGCGTAGCTTGGCCTCCAGCTCCTTCCTGGCCGCCTGGGAAGCAGCCAGGTCTGCTCGGAGTGCCTCCTGTCGGCCCTGTGCCTCCCGCAGCTGGGCCTCGAGGCTCTGCGCCCGCTCGGCCTGTGCCTGGGCCTTGAGCCGACCCGCATCCGCCGACTGGCTTGCCTCCGTCAGACCCTGCTTCAGGCTTGACAGCTGACGCTGCAGCTGACCCCCACGACGCTTCTCCTCAAAGATCTGTGGGGAGGGAGGGAGGATGTCGGAATGCAGAGTTTTTCAACCATACCAATTGCGAACGTAGATTAAAAACCAGGAACAAAATAAAATCATGTGCACCACTCACCCTCTGGCGCAGCTCCTTGCTCAGCGTGCGCTCTTTCTCGAGCTCCCTCTGGAGGTCAGCCACGGAGCTCTGGTGCAGGGCCTGCGCCTGGTCGGCACGCCCCTGCACCTGCTCCAGCTGGCACTGGAGCTCGGCCATGCGGCCTCCCTGCTCCGACAGCTGCCGCTCCAGCTGCTCCACACTCGCACGCAGCTCTTCCTGGGCCTTCAGGGAACCTGCACATTCGCAAGGGGCTCAAGGCACAGGTTTACTGGTAGCAGTAAGTACAGTCGACTCCCGGTAATTCGAAGTCGCCCAATTGGAATTTTCGGTTCATTAGAAATGAGCAAGTGGTCCCATCAGTTTTGCATGCAATCAAATAGAAAAAAATTCTCGATAATTCGAAGTTAAAAACCCATAATATTGGTTAATTAGAAGTTTTTTCAATCGACAGTCTCGTCGGGACCGTAATTTTACAGTAAAATGGGGAACTTTTCATATGCCAAAACATCTGCCGGACCCCGCTGGTGTCTTCGCCATCACTACTGTCCGCAGCGCCACAGCTCTTGAAGCGGCAATCTTTTTAACGCTGGCGAATCGCATCGGCGGCATCGACTGATTCTTTAGTTGACTTTTGTCGAGACTCGAGTGTGTCACCGCGTCACCGCGCGCTGGGTTGATTCCACACGTGTTTCCGCGCTTCTGATTTTGAGTGTTGTGGTGGTGACGTACGTTTGATAATGGCAACTCGTGGCCCTTACCGAACGCTAGACCTAGCGACGAAAGTCGAAGTCTTGAAGGAAGTTGACCAGGGAGGCACCGCCAAACAAGACATTGCAAGAAAGTACGGCATTAAGCCTAACACGCTGTCGACTTTCATAAAGAATAAGCGCTCAATATTGGATGCGTTTGAAAGTGAAAAATTCAAGACATCGCGGAAGCGGATGCGCACCGGCGCCTACCCCGAGTTGGAGGAAGCACTGCTGATTTGGATCAGAGAGGCACGAAACAACAAACTTCCTCTCAGTGGTGAAGTCGTCACGGCAAAAGCGTCATCGCTTGCTGAAATGTTGGGCATCAACGACTTCGCTGCTTCGGATGGGTGGCTTACGCGTTTCAAACATCGCCACGACTTAATTTTTAAAAGCGTGTGTGGGGAGAAGGCGTCAGTCGATGAAGAAACTTGCCTTACATGGAAAGCGGGCAAGCTTTGCGAGTACCTCGAAGAATACCAGCCGGCAGACATTTTTAATGCAGACGAGACTGCGCTTTTTTATCGGCTGCTACCGAACAAGACCCTGACATTTAAAGACGACGACTGTTCTGGAGGCAAAAGAAGCAAAGAGAGAGTGTCAGTGCTAGTCGCGGCGAACATGACTGGCACAGAACAATGTCGCCTGCTTGTGATCGGGAAGGCTGCCAAGCATAGGTGCTTTAAAGGCGTGAAGACGCTTCCTGTGGATTATGCCTCGAACAGAAAGGCGTGGATGACATCCGATATATTTAAGGACTGGATCACCAAACTCGACCGCAAGTTCGCGCAATCAAGCCGTAAGGTGTTGTTCCTTGTGGACCAATGTAGTGCCCACATGAACGTACCTGCCTTGAGTGCCATCCGTCTTGTGTTCCTGCCTGCAAACACGACGTCCGTGTTGCAGCCCATGGACCAGGGCATAATGAAAAATGTGAAGGTATTGTATAGGCAGCATCTCGTCGAGCGCATGCTTTTGTGCATAGACAACTCGTCGCAATACGAGGTGAGTTTGCTTAGTGCCATCAACATGCTAGCGCGAGCTTGGACCCGCGTGAAAGAAGAAACCATCGCCAATTGTTTCCGGGCCTGTGGTTTCATGGAAAACTCGGGGGATGCTTCTCCTTGTGCGCCAGTGGAAGTGCAAACAAATGAGCTCGACGACGGTAGCTTTCGCGCCGCTCTCGGTGACGTCCGTTTTGACGAGTATGTCGCTGTGGACAGCAACGTCGAAACATGCGGTCCACTAACGGACAGCGAAATCGTGCAGAGCCCCATGACTGCATTCCTGAAAATGACGATGATGACGACGACATCGGAAATGAGCCACCACCGAGGGCTGCCGATGTAGCTGCGGGTCTTGCTCCTGCGCAGCGGTTTTTTGTTGGAGAACACAACGCCGAAGAAGCACTTCGACACGTGTATTCCTTACAAAACTTGCTAGCCGCAGCCAGATTCGGCAAGCAGAAGAAGATGACAGACTATTTTTCCTCAAAACTGTCGCGCTTTTAAACTAATAAAAGTGCCGTTTTTAGTGCTTGTTGCTCAATTCGAAGTTCGTTTAATTCGAAGTTTTTTGCGGTTCCCGTGAACTTCATATTAACGGGAGTCGACTGTAGTACTAGTAGGGTAATAACATCTGAACTTTTACGTCCCAAAACCACGATACAATTACCAGAGATGCTGAAGTGGAGGGCTCTGGAAGTTTCGAGCATCTGGTGTTCTTTAACGCGCACCAACAACCGCCGGGATCAAATCCACGACATTTGGGTCAGCAAGCAAGCACCTTAGCCACTACTCCTCCGTGGTAGACATAGTACTAGTGGTGGTAGCAGTTAGACATGTGAAAGCGCAGAAGCCGCACAGTGCTTCGTCTCAAGCAACAAATGGCATTGCTTGCTGGCTCCTCACCACCATTGATGGGCATTTTTTTTTTTTAAGATGGAAAACTGGGCGAGTTGGCGTAGATTCATTGTGGCTAACAGTACAGAAAACACAGATGCAGACGAGAAGTGGACACCGCACAGCGCTGGCTCTATCCACTGCTTGTCTACAACTTTGTTTCTTTGCACTGTTCTGCGCAATGAATTGGCATTTCACACATCGGACGCAGCACCTACAGCCAAGCTCCTCGCACTGGGCTGTTCGGAGCACTGGTGAAAGCGACTTGCAGTTTCACATGTTGGCATCTCAAAATGCAAGACCAAGCATGCTGTATGCCAATTTATTGTCATCTTATTTATTATCCGTTATCATAACCTATTGTGTTACATTTCGGGAATTTGAATACTTAGAATAGTAGAAATCCTAGGCAAATTGAATCAAATCGCAAACGCTATTAGAAAAATAAAGAGTACGAATATTCACACACTCCTAACAGAAAGTGACTACTAAGAAGACTTTATGGATCGTGTACACAATGGAGAATTCCTGAGGAAGAAGGACAAGAACATTGGTTTTCGGATCGACTTTAAAGGGGACCTTGCAACAGTTTGCCAAGTAATCGTCAAATGCCTCACGAATCAATTGCAGAAAAAATCTTTTTTAGTAGCCCGTCAACTACCAGTGGACTTCCAGGAATTTTTCACATGCTTTAAGCGCTTTCTCTCTCTCTCTTTTTTTTTTACATACGCACACAAAGCAATGCAGGGAGAAGGAGATGGCAGAGGGCACGAAGTTACGTCGGTGCCCATCATGACCTTAAGCACTTCCTCTTTCATTCTTTCAGCACATCAGTTGAGTTTCAGTGTCGCTAGTGGCAGACGCGGTAACTGAGAAGCACAAAAGTGCTCAAATTAACCAATGACTGTGTCTCCCCTCCAATGGCCTCCAATGGCCCTTCAACAATGGCGTAATGATGAAACTTGCCGAGAGATGAGCAAGCATTTTTTAGCTGCCTTTAAAAGGTGCTTTTAAATTCCTTAATATCGGGATAGCACGGAGATGAATCCCAAAGGAAGACCACCTGTAAATTCCTTGCCACGTCTCCTGCTGTAATGTTTGGTTAACATGTATGCAGCAGCCTTGACTAACTATTGGCAGCGATTTCAACCACGCTCAAAGAGTTTTCAACTGGAGAAAATTCAAATAACAGACAAGTTATTCAAGAAAGGAGCAAATAGCTGTGTGACAAACTCGTCAGCTGTGCAGTCAAAATAAACAAAACAGTCTACCTCAACAGCTGTTCACTCAAGGAAATCTTGTCTCGCCATGAGAGCTAAGCAAGGAACGTGACAGTAACAAAGAAGAAAGTTACACAAAGTAAGACTGGCAGCTAACACCATTAGAATCCGATCTGGCGTAACCCGACAAAAGCACGGAAGCAAGCAAATGCAGCAGATGCAGGGGACAAAGCTACCTTTCATTTTGTCTATCGCTTGAATGCAAATCTCAGAGTGAGAAAGGAGCTGTCTGCTAATCTGTGTCAAGACGCAGCGCACGCAACCACATGCAGCCGCTCAAAGTGCACAGTTTTTGCCAGAACCATGCAGCCGTTTCTCCCTTCTCCAAGAACCTCTGAACGCCTTTTGAACATCAGAAGATGGCAGCACATTTCCTCCCGGCTTGAGCTGGGATCGTTGAGTGCCCTTGCACGCTTTTATTCACGCATCGAACATACAACAATTCTAGCGATGTTATAAATTAGAACTTTATAGAAAACCAATCGACAACAACAAAGGCAAAAATGCATCTGAAGTGTCCATAGAAATTGCTTTCACAGATATATTGTGGGCAACGACTGGCATGTGATCTAGAAGCAGATTACTGTGTACCTGGAGTCAGGTGTCCTCAGATAGCCTGTGCTGTGGACAGAGTTATCATTACTGGTAACCTCAGCTGCAGGACAAAAAGATATGGTGCAAATGTTCCAATGATAAGGCCCCCCTAACTGCCTAAATAGTTACCATAATTACACGATTTTAAGTCAACTCAAATTTAGGTTGATGCTTCCAAAATTCTCATGGCAAAAGACAAAAGTAACAGTTTCACCGCAAAGGCGAAGCAATGAATGTGATAGCAACAACTTGGAATGTACCGCAGAGAACGGCAAGCAGATCGTGCAGCGCGCTACGCTGCTTATGCAGAAATGACGCACAAAAACAACACACACAGAACGAGAGCTCACTAGCAAGGTTTACAGCTCGACGCTTAAAGCACTGAACAAAAATGACGCACAAAACGTAATCACAGGTACAGATATGAGTGCGAACTAATGAGTGTCCCAGTTGTCATGAATGTCCCAGCTGTGTTTGAAAAGTGCGCTTTTTTCGCAAACGGAGCCTGCCCAGTGAGTGAAGTAGACCTCTGTGGCCCAGGCAACTAACGAAATCGTTCTAGTGAAAGGCCAAGGCACATGATTCTTCCCACTAAAGGATAAGCGCGCCCTACAAGCACCTAATCCCCTAGCCCCAATCCGCGGGGCAAAGTCCGCGTGGGAAATAAGCGCGGGTTGCTAGATTAGGACGAGCTGGGTGCCAAACGTGGGCGGCTTTTTTTCTTGAGTTTTTATATATATATATGGTACATATACATATACGGTGCGTGACGGGGGCAGCGGCAGCGACGACGAAAACCAGCCGAGACTGTCCATATAATTGCTATCGCAATAAAATATGAAAAAGTACAAGCACATTTCATTAAAAAATTTTATTTACAATGTCTCCGAAAGAAAACAAAGTCGAACACCGTTGTGCCAAGCTGGCTTGACAGCAGTGCTTGAGCTGTGCAGAAAAGTTAGCCTCGCGAAAATATGCGGTGATTATTTTCAGGAGGACTTTACAATCGAAACCAGATTTCTATTCTGGGTCAAACTCCCAACTTCAGATTGCAAACTAAAACAATATGATTGACCTACAATCATGCGTATACGATAGGTGCAAGAATAGCTTGCTTCCTCCCCTTTAGCCATAGAATAGTGTCATACAAGGACTGACTGCACAGTCTGAACATGCATCCAAAGCTGGCCTAACCACCTCTTCTCAATAACTCAGACACACTTTCATATGTTTGACTGCACCAGTGAATGACTAATCGTTAGCAGCTGACGCTGGACAAACATATCTGCTTGGTTTAAGAATGACACAATGAAAACACAACATGACGATTGAGACAAGCGTCCAGTGTCCACATCATGATAAAATCGTATTGCTATAGTGCAGCTTAGTTTTGGGGTGAAGGAAAGATGCAAAGTAGAATCTTTTCTTCATGCTTAAACTGAGCTGCACTATAGTGATACAATTTTATCACATCCTAACTCACCCAATCTGCGGTACTTGTCCACGTCAGTGTGCATTAGTTGTTGCATCATTATTAATCTTAAATTCTAGACCAACTAATCCATAGAAGGTTAGTTGATTATATTTTCCCGGTATCTTTGCACAGTGGGCCAGCATGCACTGTCAATACAATTCATGGAGTCAACATTGTCAATTCCTCAGTGCAGCCCATTGGCACACTACAACTTCTGCATACAGGCTATCTGGCTCATTGCTGAGAATGTGTAATAAAATGTCCTCCATTCTTCATGTATTCTCCTCATTGAGTACTGTCATTCACTTGTTAGTAAGAGTTCTTGAGGCAAAATATCAGTTACAAAAGCACGGCAATTTTTCTTTATTTTCCACAGTACCTTTGATGATACCAAACATACTTGTTTAAAGCAGCCCTGGACAAAACTGCTAAATGATGAACAAAGAAGAGACAATGCTCACCAGCGAGCCGTCCTTGTTCCCTCTCCAGCTGCAGCAGCAGTTCCTGGTTCTTCTCGGCAAGCTCCGTCTGCTCCTCCTGGATTTTTGCTGCCGAGTCAGTCTGAGTCTCGGCGCTGACTTTTTCCAGCTGATCCAGGGTCTGGACTTCCTGGCTGATCAGTTTCTGGCTCGTCCGCCGTTGCTGGTCTTCCTCCTGCTGCGACTCGGCGTTGGCCAGCTGCACCTGAGCCAGCTTGAGCTCCTTCATCTTCTCGCGGAGCTTGCGCGTCAGAAGGCGGATGTTGGACTTGTGCATGCGCTCCTGCTCTCTGCACCCAACAAGCAAGAAGACAGCATAAATGCATGAAGAAACTGGCCGGTAGGAACAGGCTGGCAGGAAGAAAATGTAGTGTGTGTTTTCGGTATACCATGGTTCTAAGCGGAGGGGTGCTAAACCTTTCACAGCTTAGCACTCCTTTACTGCAGCGAAACCACTTTTACAGTAGGTTACATGCATTAAGGGACACTAAAGGCAAAGGACAATTTATGTCAGAGTGAAAGCTCAATGTATGACGTCTAAAATGGCAACATTATCAACAGCAGTGCCTTACTTACCAAACAATCAAGCTAAATGTATCACACAACGTGCGCCACGATGGGGACATTTGAGAAATGATCCCGAAGACGTCGTCCGACTACAATTAATCACTAGTAATCGAACTAGCTGTAATAAGAAAAGCATCAAGAAAAGTAATAAAATGATCCATGCATCAAGAAAAGTAATAAAATGATCATGCTTCTCCGTTCCTGTTTTATCTATACAAAAAAAAGCCGCCTGGCGTTACTATGGGGAATGGCATGAGTAGTTCAAAAGTTCAGTTCTTGGCTGGTTAGACTGGATAGGTGGTGCCATCTAACGGGACCCAGTTGAACCAAGCAAGCAGAATCATGGCCTCCAAGATTGCAGAAAATTGCTCAATGGCCGTTGTTGCTATTGTGGTTTCTGGTACTTTCGCTCTTCTTTTACAGGTGTTGGCGGCCACGTAGTAAAGACGGGCAACGTTGGGCACGGAAACAATAATGTTCAGGTGATTTGAAGTGCATTAATGTGATGCAGGCCATTAAAACGTGATTTTATTTTATAATAAGCACTTTCTTTGGTACGAAACTAGCACTACGAAATTTCTGGGCCGCCATCTCATTGTCGACATTATACTTGCCTTTAGTGTCCCTTTAAAGGGGCCCTGAAACACTTTTCAGGGTAACCATGGAATGAATTCGCTGGAAGAGCTTATTGCCTCACAAATTCAATGCCGCGAAAATTTTAAGAATCCGTCCAGTATGAGCGGAGTTACAAAGATTTGTCACACGCTGCAATTGCATCCTCTCTTCCTTCATCCAGACGAAAGCGCTGGAAGCTAAACAGGGAAGGATGGCAGGGCCACAGAGAAACATCCCATGTGCCCTGTGACCTTGAGCACTTTTTTTTTTGTTTTTATTCAAATGCACGGCTTGTTCAGTGTGATCGCGCGTGCAAGTGTGCACAAGTAGCGGCTTCCCGCGGCGATCTCTGTAACGAGTGCGCGCCCCATGTTCAAATCAGCCAATGGCTGATAGATGGGAAATTTATCCGTGATTTTTGGGTATATTGCATGATTTGTCGAGAGAAGAGAAAGCAATTTTTAGCTGACTTTGATAATTTATTTTGAATTCCAGGCCACATGCTGCACTATAATATTTGGCTCGCGTGTTGTCGGGGGCCTCTACTACCGATCAGCAGCGTTTTCTGACCATGCTCAAAAAGTGTTGCGAAGGCCCTTTAATAACACTTGAACTGGTGTTTTCTCAACTTAGCACCCCTTCACTGCAGTGAAACCATCTTTACAAAAAGTTGCATGTCGACACGTACGCACCTTTTGTTCCTTTCGAATATTTCAAAATTTCCAATAAAAAAAGTCAAGTCGAAGTGAATTCAAATACTGTTATATTCGTTAGAACACTCAGAGAGCTCGAATATTCGCGCAAGTCTAGATTTTACATTTCACGAATTTATTTAACAGCAAACACCTGATTAGTATGGTAAAACTTCTTCATCGTTGGCTCTCACCAAAGAGAGCATACCTATATAGAAAACAATATCCGCACTGCCTTCTTTGTATAGCTTCTATGACGTAAAGAAAAAGAGAAAGATCAGAGAGGAACAAAGGAGAAGAAGGAATGAAAGTAGAAGTTGTACTTTTGTGTTGAAATTCAAGGTACTATACAAGTTGTGCCCTTCAATAAAGTAAATACTCAGCATCAGTCTAGCGCTGCGTTATGCATACCTCTTGGCATTGTTGTTCTTGTACTAGTTGAACCTGTCTCAAAATATGGTACCATATTTACTCGATTCTATTGCACCCTCGATTGTAATGCGCATTCGGTTTCGACGACAGAAAAAAAGAAGTAAGACATCGATTGTAAAGTGCACCTATTTTTCTCGTTGGAATGCACGATCACACCACTCGAGAAAACGACTCCTTTCGAGAGCGTCTTACATTTAAATATCAAGTATGGGGGAAGGTTGTGCTCATCTGACGTGCAACAGAGCATTGCCGTCACTCTAGTTTTTTCGTGGCCCGATGTCACCACGTGAACTTGCTTCACCCCCTTCTCGATAATCGTGGTGCCAAGTATGTCAAAGCAAAGAGGCATCTGATCGGCATTCTCGATTTGCTCAAGCAGGTAACCGTTGTTGTGCCGCAAGTTTAGGACGAACCCCTGAAAACTGTGAAGCTTTTCTTCGTACTCCTCCGGCAACTTTTCGCATATGCCCGTTTGCCTTCGGAGGGAAAAGCTTTTCCTCTTTATAAAGTTAGTTAGCCAGCACCTGCTCACTTTGAACTGGCTCCGTGTTAGCCCTTTTTGTAAAGCTAACTGCATAGCCCGCACTTGGAGCAGTTCTGTCGTGCCGCTCACTGCTCAAGCACATACTTGGCTAGCAGCTCTTCAATTTGCGGAAACCGACACTGCTGTGGCCTACTGAAGCCTTTACATGAAGCTTTGCTGTCGACAATCTTCTGCTTTTGTTTCCGCCAGTCCCGCATGCACATTTCAGAAACTCCGAACGACCACGATGTGGCCCGATTTCCGTTCGTTTCTGCACAGGCGATGACTTTTCTTTTAAAGCAACATCGTGGTGCACTCGTCGAGTTTTTGTAGTCGGCCCTTTCATGCCGTCGATGTAAATGCACTAGAATATGATGAACTCCTCAGCACACGTACGAAGTGCCGCACATCGGAAACACATTGGCAGAAATGGCCAACGTGCCATGCCGACGCGCCATGCCGATGCACGTAGGGGGCAGCCATTTTGAAAATTCCAATGGCAATAGAATGACTGTATTCATTTCTTTTTTCGTACTTGATTCTAACCCGCATGCGACTTATGAACTCACTAAACCGAAAAAAAAGTGCACGTTAGATTCAAGTAATTACGGTATATAGAAGCGAAGAGTACTTCAAACAGGGTGAAGTGAGGTCGACGAACAGGTTCGGTAAAAGACTCATCTCCAAAGCGCTCTTCAATTTCACTATAGTTATGCACATCTACAACAAAATAAGACCACCACAAGCAAATGATGATCGTTGTAGAACAATACATGTGACATCTTGTCCTCCAGCAAGTTTAATTGTCAGGTAGTATTCGTATTTTGGTGCAGATGTGGCCGGTGAAAAGCTTCACTGCTTTGGTCACCAGTAAATTGTGCTGACCTTTTTCCCCTGCAGTAGTACCACCTGGCCCAAGTCAGACACACTTTTGGATGTCTTAATGCATATAGCTGGGCTATTTGGTACTGAATGAATGCTTCCATAATACAGTCGAATATCATTAATTCGAACACGCTTAATTCAAACTTTTCGTGAATTCGAACTCACGATGAAGTCCCATCAAAGCTATGTGTATTGCAATGGGCGAAAACATCCGGTAATTTGAAGCCCCAAGCACTTCCGACATTTCATTCGAACATACCGCGCTCCGAAAATGCTCTCTGCGCCCCACCCAGTCCCGCAGCGGCACCAGGCAAGCACCTCAACGCTGCCCACGAAAGAAATGAAAAGGAAAGAAAAGGCTGCCGTGGAATGTTTGCTCTCTCTCAAATGCCGATCTGCGACGACCCCTCACCCTTTTCCATCCCTGCAACGTACAGACCCTTCCTCATTTGAACATCGCGCATGAACAGAGAGAGGAAAAAAAAGAAAGCTGTCGATGAGTTGAATGAATGTGTGGTTGAAGGAAATGAAAAAAGGCGCTATCTTTTGCAGCCCTTGCCTCTTGTGGGAGCACGGCTCTGCACCTTGAGGGGGGGGGGGTCTCTCATGCGCCAGTGCCACGCTTCCCCCTTTCCCTTCCCTGCCACGTAGCCTTTCTTCTTTCAACAACGAGCACGAAGAGAGCAAAAAAAAAAAGCTGTCGTGGAGTGTTGGTTTTCTTTCAGATGCCGATCTGCTTCTCTTCGCGTGGAGACACTTCTCCTTTCTTGTCACGTGTTGGCCATGCTGCGGCTGCGTAGCGGAGAGCGGGAGGCTCAGCTACACAGTCGTTGTTGTGGTCGTTTTTAGAAAGTGTCGGCACTGGACATTTCCGCGCGCAACTTCTCTTGCCCGGAGAACGCTGAAGCTGAAGTAGAAATGCTTTGCAAGCTGCGTGCGAAATTGATGGACTCACTGCAAATCAAGCGTGAGCAGATGCACATCACCAATTACTTCAATTAATAACAGATGTCCTGTGATTTGTGAATAAATGTATGTCTTCTGAAACTCCCCCCCTCCCGTGTGTTAGCTCAAAGCACATGCACCACAGCATGGAGAACCCTCCATTCATTTAGCTTTCATTAACTTGAACTTCTTTTATTCAAACAAACTCTTGGGCCTTTTTGAGTTCAAATTATCGATATTTGAGTATACACACACACACAGACACAACACAGGAAGACTCAGAACAAGCACTAGCAGTTGTCCGGCGCCTTCCCGTGTAGTCTGTGTGTGTGTGTGCGCTAATATTATGGAAGCATCCACCTTTGGATGCACTGGCTATTCCACATTTCTTTTTCTGTACAACCACAAGACCTCCAAAGCTGTCCTCACGTTTATGGCTGGACACCACTTTCCTGATTGTAGGCCAAGCAAAAGTGAGAAGGGTCAGTTACCTGGTGGCCATCTCGCGGGTGGCCAACGTCTGCTCGAGCTCCCGAACTCGCGTCTCCCAGGTGGAGGGGTCGTGCAACTGCGCCTGCTCCTGGAGGCTGGCTGCCCGGCGTGCCTCCTCTCGGTTCAGCCGCTGGGTCGACTCCTGCAGCTGGCTCTGCAGAACAGCATTGCGCTGCGCAAGGGTCTCCAGCTCAGCCTCGGCATGTTCCAGCTGTTCCTCCGATTGCCGCAGCTTCTCCTGCAAGACGATGTGGCAGGCCGCAAAAAATTCAAGGGACACTAAGGCTGTGCTACGCCGGAGAACACTGTAGACAGTCTAGACTAATGGCTTACAAGACAGCAGCAAACCACAGTTATCCAAGTAACAGAACACGTCTTGTTTTAACAGCAAGGCAACCAGTCGTATTTGTCTCCAATGATGTCTTTTCAGAACTACTTTTTCAGCTATATGAGAGCTTGAATGAGGTTTCAGATGGCTGCTGTATGCTCAGCTGTCTCATGCAACACCACCTTAACGCTGCACCTACCCAGGATGCTGTCACGTGGGTGGGACAGTGAACAACCAAGCAAGCAGTCAAGCCAGTAAAGATTGATTTAATTATAGGTCAGACTTCTGCATCACAAATGAATCTACAGTGGACTCCCATTAAACAAATGAATCTACAGTGGACTCCCATTAAATGAAACTCGCTTAAACGGAAAAGCCGAATAAAAGAAACTATCTCTGCAATTTCGTTGGTCTCCTATATATTTAATGATAAAAAGTTGCGGGCAATCGAAACATTTTTTTTCCCCTTACATCGGTTAAATGAAACAAAAACAGACAAAGTCCATGAACGGAGGAAGTGGCCACGGCAGCCTAGCAACCACAAAACAAATGCCAAAGCTAGCCTAGTCATGCCAATCCAGCAATCGCACATGGCCGCGCACGCTGAGCAGCAAACGATTAATCTCGTTTTCATCTTTTTTGTTTCCATCTCGTCGTGAACTTGAGATGAAAACAAACAAAAAAAACAGCATCCCAATGCACTTTTGCTCACAACGAAAGTAAAAATCATTAAAGAACTTGACCGCAACGACCTATCGGAGACAGAAATTGTTCAGAACAGTTCAATATTCCCAAGTCCACACTGTTGAGGACAGTCAAGAACAAATAGAAAATTGAAGAAGCTGCAAAGCTTGGGAACTTCGACAAAGACAGAATGCAGATGAGAACGGCGAAGGAGAAAGAAATCTACGATGCTCTTTTTCTCTGTTTCGAGCATGTGCGCAGTGCGAACTTTCCGATCAGCAGCCCCATTTTCGAAGAGAAGGGCAAAGAGATTACTCGCATGGGGATCGAGCACTTGCGGCTGAGCCGTTTTAAAAAGCGGCATGGTCTTGTCTTTAAGATAGTTTCTGGAGAAAGTGCGGCTGTAAACAGAGATATCTGTCTGCAATATTAGCAACATTTTTCTTTCTAATCAACTATATAAGTATTGTATACTTTAAAATGTTTTTGTTCAGTCAGCCACAGTTGGTGCTTTTAAAATCAAGTCATATTTCATTCATTTTGTGAGCCTAGCTTAAATGAAACTTCTCATAAATGGAACAAATTTTCTTGCCTTTTCAAGTTTCGTTTAATAGGAGTCCACTTATTACAGTACCAACAAGTAATACTTGCAATACAATGAGAGCAGCAAGCTCGGTCGTCGGTAGCTGACAATCTCATTGCCAGTGAAATGCTCGACCTTTTATACATGTGTCACTGTACACTTCAGCTTTATCACTAATGCTCGTGCGAATTCCAGAATGCACACAGCTTTTATTGTTACGCAGAAGGTAGACAACACTTGAGAACACCCAATACACTTTAAGCTTGGCTTAAGGCGACTGATGGCACACGTAACAGTTTCTGTCACTGGAACACAGTCACACTTTCATTTAGAAACAAATGTGCGTGCCGATACTGTGAACCCATCTGAAACCCTTGGCAATGAAGGCATTGATGGAAGCAGCATTTAGCGTGCCCTCACCTTGTCCGTGCTGTGCCTAGTCGTTGCCTCTCTGGCCTCGGCTGAGGCCTTCTTGAGGTCAGCCTCGAGGACACGCATCACGTTTTGAAGGTCACTGTACTGCTTGCGCAGCTGGCTCACTTCCATGGCTTGTGCTTGAGATTGCGCATTGGACCGTGATGCAAGTTCCTTCCGTGCCAGTGACAGGGCCGTCTCAGCCTCTGAGAGGCGCTCGCCTAGAGAGGCCTTCTCTCTTTGCAGTTGGTCGATCTGTAACATCAGAAACCACAGAAAGAGCACGTTTTTCGACTGGTAGATGAGATTGACTGTGTTACAGAGAAGCAGCACCTGTGAGACGTGTCATGGACGGCTCCAGAATAATAATTAAATTGTAGGACTTCTTAACTTGCGGAGCATGGCACAAGACCAATTTTTCATTCTATCCACATAAGAACAAGGGCCCTGTTACCAGGTATCGTACCCACTACCAAAACAAAGGTTACTGAAATATTAGTAAATTCCATTGCCACAAGCAATATTATGCATTTGAGCAATTAAACCTCTACTCAATATAACAAAGCATTTCAGCTGCAACAGCTATTCAGCATGTCAATTCATGTAGTGACAACTGTGTCACACAGATCGCAATACAAAAGGGACAAGCAGGCAAGACAAATGGCGCTAGACTGCAAATCTAATAAAAAGGTGATGAACTGGAGCACCTTGGTTCTTTAACGAGCTTTCCAGTGTAAATCCTATTTGTTTGCTACCTCAATTACAGCATTTTATTCCTTTTTGTGGTTGTATGTAGCAACCTTTAAAGCTTAGGCTTTGAGTGTGCACGCACATTCATTTTTAATAAGTTTCTACCATATTTTGGTAGTGCTTAAGCTAGCACCATTAAAAAAGAAAACTATAGTCGAACACAACTCAAGAAGTCTGCAGAGGCCACAACCCGACAACCAAAGGGCGGTAGCCAATTTTCTGCGACTAGAGAAATTGTCCCACTCATGCACTCGGAAAGGTCCTCAGAATGTAGGCTCACAGGCCATGTGGTACATGACATCAGTCAAGAAAGTGCGCCCATTTGTGCATGGATTGTATGTACCGCCTTTGAGTAGGAAACCGACCTTTAAAGTTGTCTCCCACTATAGTGGCATACATATCAAACGAAATCAGCATACCACCGGGCGCCCTAGCACACGCTCCTTAATTATGGGGCGCCCCAGTGCAATTTGTCAAAGATGGCACAGCCGACAACCTCCCTCACCTGTGCAGTCTTTGCCACCTGCTCGGTGCGGATGAGTTTGAAGTTGTTTTCGAGCCGTGCCAAGTTCTCAGTCAGCGTGCCCAGTGACTCGCTGACAACCCGCTTGTCCTGGTTGGCCGCAGCCAGGGCCACTTCGAGGGCTGCCTTCTGGTTGCGCAGTTCTGTGGCTCGCTCCTCACTGGCCGCCAGTTCTGTCTGTAGCCGCCGAACTTTCTGCACGCCTTCCTGCAGCAGCTCGTCCTGGTTACGCCGACCGAGTTCGCTGTCGCTCAACTGCAGTCGCAGTCGCTGGACTTCCGTCACCAACTCCGTGCGCTCCCGCTCCAAAGCCGACAGGGCTGTAGACCGCTCGGATAGGCTCGACTCGGTCGAACGCAGCTGCTCTTCCAACTCGGCCACACGTAACTTGATAGACAGGTCGCTTGCCTCGGATACAGGCTTTAAGAGGCCAAGAACACATTACATACCGAATGGCAATAATATTGCGTTAGGCATTGCAAAAGCAATCATAGTAGAGTTGAACACAGGTGTACGGAATTATTTGCTGTCTCGTACAGTTGTAAGATCCCTTTGAAAATCCCAGTAAGACACATCGCTTGTTACTAGGCATATATTGAACTCTATTCCATACCCACACACATCCGCTTTTAGTGTTTTTAATGCTGGACACCCCTGTAAGTTACCTTCTCTTAAAGGCAAATGTGATTACCTTTTTGATTGATTGATATGTGGAATTTAACGTCCCAAAACCACGATATGATTATGAGAGATGCTGTAGAGGAGGGCTCCGGAAATTTTAACCACCTGGGGCTCTTTAACGTGCACCCAAATCTGAGCCCACGGGCCTACAGCATTTCGGCCTCCATCGGAAATGCAGCCGCCACAGCTGGGATTTGATCCCACGACCTGCAGGTCAGCGGCAGAGTACCTTAGGCACTAGACCACCACAGCGTGGCAAGATCACTCTTTGTATCACTGCATACATCAACGCTGAAAAACCAGCACTGTTCTAGAATATGTTGTCAAATGGGCCACTAAAGATCAGAAAGGCATGGAGCAAGGTGTGAAGTTCAAACAAGCAATGAGCCTGTCTCTAAAGATGGTTCGAGTAGCAATAATTTCGTTTTAAGTACATCATGCTGTATTTGCTTTCATGTAGCAAGTTTCACCGCATCGTACAAAAGCGTTTCGGTGAATAAAACCATAAGTGGAGGCAACAAACTGCCATACAGTGACGCATATTAGTATCCGTTTTCATTCTTTGCTAGAAGCAGGGCTACCACAGTTTTTCAATATTACAAAAGGCCCCCTGGTTAAATGCATGCCTTTTGCAAAAAGGTGGGCATGAAAAATAAATAAAAAGTCAACTTTTATGCCTTTGAAACGACCTTGCAGAAACCCATACCAACTTGAAACCAGTTTGAAATCTCATACAATTCCAGGAAATGCCGAGCATTCACACAACCTTCAGATAGGCTTTACAATTATTGATATATTAAATTATTTTATGATCACCATCAAGTTAAACAGACCTGCCTTTTATTGAACCGAGCTTAAACTGCAATGCCAATTACAAAAAACTGTATCACCTGTTGAGGCTGTGCTTCAGCGGCCTCGCGAGACAGAATGGCCTCCCTCTCGAGCAGGTCGGCTTCGATGTCCTCGAGCCTCTTCATGAGGCTTTCTTTATCACGTACAGAACGATGCCGGGCCTCCATCAGCTCCTGAGTCAAGCGCGCGTTCTCGGCTTTGAGCATCTCTGCCGTGCCTTCTAGCGCAATCTTCTCGGCCTGGGTGGCCACGTGCTCCTTGTGCAGCTGGTTCCTGCCCTGTTGACTCTCGTGGAGCTGGTCGCGGAACCAGTCCTTGGACTTCTCGATCACCTGCGGCCAGTTTCAAAATTTTTGGGCTGACATACACGCAGCAGCGAGAACAGTGGAGAGTTCAAAGTTCGTCCACTACTATTTGCAGAACAATTATTTACTGAAGAAGTAAGCGCAAGCGGCTGAGATGGTGACAGCATTTAGTGGCACAGGGCTCAACTAAGCAAATACAAATTTGTTATTGGATTAACAGAAAGTTGTTTACTTGGTTGCTGGTGAACTTTGAAAATGTATTAATGAGAAAGCATGAAGGAGTTAATTTTGCGGAAATTTCGTGTTGGTGCTGACCACGGCGGTTGGTGTCTTTGGTTTCCAGCAAAAAGGCAGCATTGGCCATAAGCAAAATTTTAAGGTTGATGCAAATAAAAATAGAAGCCAGAGGGCATTTGCACTTTGGCTTTCCTTGCAGCACAGTTTACGTCTCCAACAGGAAACATAGACAGGCTGGCGCTTGAGAAGGCGATAGAGAGAGAGTGTGTGCCTACAACCACACACGTGTAGATATTGCTATCACATTGAACCCTTCAATGACTACGTTATCGGGTTCCCAAATTTTTCTTATGCCAATGCTACTGTGTACACTGGAACTCTAGACACACTAAAACTCTCTATATAGAATGTCTGCAACAAGAAAATCTTGTTAGTGATTTATCTGCAGCACAGATGAAGTGGCGCTTTCAATGGTGGTGAGGATACCTCATTCATTTCTGCAATGATAGCCATCACTACCTGACTGCTGTAGGGAGACAGCAGACCCATTCCCTCTAGGCTACCAGTCTACCGTATCAACGTGTAGCTGCACACCGCAAAGTGTGCTAGAATCTGCACAGAGATGTAAGCAAATCAGAAAATCGAGTATGTTCATACAACTTGACTATGCTGAATCGCAGCTCAAGAGAACGTTTTCTTACACTAAAGTTTTGAATGCTGCAAAATGCTAAGAGATGGTGCACCATGTCCCCATCTCCTTTGCTGTATTTTGAAATAAAGACATTTATTCTACCTCTCTTGTCTCTGCAACCCCTTGATGCATTCTTATTCGAGACACAGGGCAATGAGAACACATGTATGCACTCTCAAAGAAAGAAATCAACAAGGCAACACTGGAATGGTGCTCCAATAATACAGTGTTCCCAGAAGGACAAGCTTCTTTGAGTCAGGGCTAGGCTAGTGCAAATAGTAAATTTTAGGCTCGAAGCGAATAGTGATTTTGGTCGAATTTAAGAATCAGATACAAAAAAAAGGTGCAGGGGTGGGGGGGGGGGGGCAATTTGTCGTGATCTAACAAGCCTGCACTATACTTTTCTTTATTTTTCATTGAAAGAAGGCTTCAGCAAATGCAATCTTATTGGTTTAAAGGAAGTGGAAACAACTTTGAATGGCAGCAGGATTTGGCTTTGGTAGAAGGCAAGCGATAACCCGGTAAATATGTTACGTTTTAAAATTTACTACACTTATTGCACATGAGTCGGAATAGGAAGCTTTTAAACTGGCCTTGCAATACTTTTTGAGCATGGTCAGAAAACGCTGCCGATCGGTAGTAGAGGCTCCCGACAGCATGCAAGCCAAATATTATAGCACAGCACGTGGCCTGGAATTCACAATAAATTATCAAAGTCAGCTCAAAATCGCTTTTTCTTCTCTCAACAAATGACGAAAGACGCTCAAAAATCACTCGTAGAAAGCCCATCAATCCGCCATTGGCTGATTTGAACATGGCGCGCTCGGGCGTTACAGAGATCGCCGCGGGAGGCCGTGACTTGTCACGCGATCAACCTGAAAAAGCCGCGCATTCAATGAAAAAAGAAAAAAAAGCTTGAGGTCACGAGGCGTGGGTGACGTATTTTTATTGCCCCTGCCATTCCTCCCTGCTTAGCTTCCAGTGCTTTCATCGAAAAGAGAGAAGGTAGAATGCCATTGCAGCAAGCGACAAATCTTTGTAACTCCTCTCGTACTGGGTGGATTTTCGAAATTTTCGCGGCGCTGAATTCGTAAGGCAATAAGCTCTTCCAGTGAATTCATTCCATGGTTACTTAAAAAAGTATTTCAAAGCCCCTTTAAAAAATGATTAATCAATGTGAGGGTAATTTGTTCATTTAACTTTGAAGTGAGGCTTCGTGGCAGTGCAAATTTCTCCTGGTACAAATGTTTCCACGATTAAGCACCTCTTCGCTGCAGTAAAACCACCTTTACAGGAGGTTACATGCGCCCCAATAAACACCTATTCGTCCATTACAAATACTTTGAAATTTTAAATAACTTAAATTCAAATCAAAGCAGATTCAAATACTGTAATATTCATTCCACAAGCCTAGTCATGACAAATTTTATAGCTTGATTAATTCACCTTTCTATATGCAAGCTCCATGCTGGACTTCGTGCATCAAGGTATTAGGTCCAAAATTTTGACAGCAATTATCACACAGTAAAGATCTTGTGCAATAATGTACCAGCTAGCCCAAACCTTCATGTTAGTTAGCCCCTTTTACTACTGTGTCTCATGCACTGGATATGAAGAGTTTCCCAGATGCGAAGTGTTCAATTGGTCACTCTGTGTAATAAATACTCAGCATACATTTGTCTGCTCCGCTACATCCACCCAACGTCGTTGTAGTTGCAATTATATTTGCACTATGTATTGAGAATAAATTACGGAGCAAACAAATGTGACCACTGCCCAAATGCTCATTCTTATTGCTTTTTTTATTTTGCACCATATTTTTGCAGTTAAGTCAGCAAACAATCTAAGCCTTCTTTCACAGTTTGTTTCTTTTGATTATGGTCAGAGTAGAGGATTTCAGGCACTAACCTGCAGTTGATTGCGGAGACTCGCGTTTTCAGTTTCCAGCTGGGCCCGGGCACACACAGCTGACTGGCTCTCCACATGCATCTCAGCAATCTTCTTTTTGAGTCCCTCGATGGCTCCGCAACGCGACTCCAGGTCCACCTTCAACTCTTCCACAGCGACCTTCAGCTCACGGTTCTCATTTGACAGCACTGCAGCCTCATCGTGCAGGAATCCTGTCTCAGATTCCTTGGAGTGGATCAGGCTGTCATAGTCGCCCACCACACGTCCATAGCGCACCGACTCCATCTTGAGTGTCTGCAGCTCCTGGTGCAAGCTAGCTTCCCGTTGCACAGCCGCGTCTTTCTCCTCCGCAAGCTTTTGGCAGCGGGCCTCAGCGGCTGCGGCCCGCGTCTTCAGTTCTGACTTGGCCTGGACCAGCCGGCCAAGCTCTCCCTGAAGCGTGTCCAGCTCGCCCTCAAGATGGACTTTCTCCTTCAGAATCGCAAAGTGGTCCGTCTCCTCCGTTTCGACGCCAACGTGAGCCACAATGCAGCCAGTTGCCGACAGCTGCTCGGTTTGCGTGCCGGCCGCCATTTTCTCTCGGGCGGTGAGGACGCCGAAATGGGAAGCCCGCGGCACCATCATAGACTTAAGCATCCTGATTTCGTCATCGACGTCGCTGACCCACGACAGGTTGGACTCTGTCTCGGAGCACATGGAGGCCGAGTCGAAGTTATCTGCGTCGAAACCAGCCTCCTCGGAGGGCCGCCTCCAGTTGTGCACGGAAGGAAGCTCCCTCCGGGTGATTGTGCATTGGTTGCGGAGGAGGGGGCTAGGCTTGGTGGACCCGTTCTGGGAAGACTGCACTTGACTTCCGGTGGTGGCTTGACTGCTCAGGATGGTGCGTAGCCAGGATGTCCGCTCATCAACAGAGGCTACAATGCTCTCTGGGGGATATTCGACCAACTCCTGGTAAATTGCTTTGGTCGGCACAGATGGCTTCAGAGGCACACCTGCGAGCACATTGTAAGCAAGGTCTTGAGCTTGAATGCCGTGTACACTTATGTGGTTTATTAGGGTGACAAATAAATGAGCTAAGCATAATAGTCTGTATATCATGCATTGAAAAAGATTCACCTTAGACAAGACCAGCCACAGGTCACCATGATAAGCTTGAAAAATGATACAGCATAAAACTTGAACACCAATGAATTCTTTCCAGCAGCACATTATAAAGGGAGAACAAAGTTACGCAGGTGATGCTGACAAACAACAAAACAGTAATAAAAAATGCAACTGCAACAACCAACACTGCCATATTCCCCTTGACATCACGTTACGTGTCATGATGTTTAGAGATCAAATGTAGACATGTAACCCTGCATATTAGATGATAAAAAGCATGCAAACCACTGGTACAGGCTACAAATAGACTAACGACTCCCATGGCTTCCTCAGTTTATGCTGCTCTGCTGTGGAGTCTTCAGTCAAGTGAAATTGTTGAAAGCCCATCTTTAAGATACCCAGTGAAGGAATTTTGTGCAGGGAAAGAACTCTTCCTGCGAGAACTTATGACCAACATCAAAGGATATCGAAACCTGATTGACAAAATGAGACATGAATGGTTACTACAGCAATTTACTATGGCATTTTTTATGAGTTTAGAAATTGATACAAACAAACACAACTGGCTAATGGGAAAGCTGGAATGAACTGTTGTCCATACCAGTTCATTTTGAATTTCTAATATTTACAATGCGCAGCACTATTAGTTATGGAAAAGAAGCAATTGCACACAAAGTACACAACTCCATGCACTGCTAGAACAAAGACAAAAATAAAGAATGTGCCTTCTTATTGCTTTGCTTGTGCAGGGCTGTGCGAGTTACTTAGATCTTACTGACGAGGCAGCCACAAGATTTGGGTCTTCTTTCCTTGTTAGTCTGGTATTTATGAAGCGCACCTCGCGAAGGGAATAAAGAAGACGAGCTGAACCTTTAGCAGCAGCCACATGGCCACCAGCAAAGACCAACACATGCGCTAAACATGTGCCCCAAGAGCTTCATGGGGCTTGATAATAACTCTGTCACACGAGCCAACCTAGAAGTTCACTTGGAGGAAGCAAACGTCACCCTTAGTGTCACTCGCACGGTATCACGCGGGAACGTTTCCCCAAACTACCTGTGCCGCAATGAAGGGTCTAGCCTCGGAAGCTCCATAAGAATATGTTTAAGGTTCCTCTGGAACGTCTGTTTCGGTAATTTCACTTAGAAAAACTTTAAAAACTTCGAGAAATAGTGTGAAAACATTCTATATTATTTGCACTCAAAACATATTATTCACACAGCTCTACTTTTTACCAATGGTGGACTGCTGGACAGAGAGGGCATCGGCTGCCTGGGCCATGCACTTGAGCGGTGAACGGGGTGCCACTGAGCTGGCCGCAGCGGCCTGCGCTCGGCGTGGCGAGTGAACCAGCGAGTGCTTCTCTATGCACTCAGCCACCTGGGTGCACAGTGTCGGATTCTCAGTCGCCACATACTCCGCCACCTGAAAATGTTGAATGAATGAATATAATGGATATAATTATTGCAAATACAAATTAATCAAATACAGAAAGAAGCTCGAAAGCAAACCAATGAATTACTATTTCATGATAAATTATTTTTTCTGTGGAGCGTTGCTGTAAAATAAGTTGCCACAACGCTCCACACAAGGTATTCACAGGGACAGGTGCATTTAAACATCAAAAGAAAACGTGCATGCTGTTTTCACACATTGTTTAGGAGGGGGCATAAGGATGATTACGTGGGCAGATGAGATTAAGAATTCTGGGAGGCAACTGGACCACAACAAACACACATTAGAGAAGCATGAGACAAGCCTTTGCCTTGCAGTGGTCATGGCAATCAGGCTGATGATGATGATAATGATTACAGCAAGGATTGAGACAAGTACATCATTACGATGAAGAGACAGGATGAGCAAATGCAAAGAGAAGTGTAAACACACCCAGTAGGAGGGTGGATGCAGGGCTGAAGTGTGGAATTCTTTCAGTAGTGAGCTCAGATGGGAGCATCGCAATGTCATTCTGTGCAGCGACAACTGAAAAACGCAGCATGCATTCTATCTCGCAAGTGCGTAATCAGCGGCACTTCTAAAGGGATAGTCACTACGTGGGCTCTTGGACTGTGTGCTTGACATGATAGCTCGCGGTATCTTAAACAAGCGAAAAGCAACATAATGCCTCTGATCACCTCCGTTTACAGTTAAACGTTTCGGCCCTCTGAAACCCAGCTGTTCTCAGTTATCGAGTAATGAGTGTTCCCGTTCTCCTGCACTTGTGTGACACATTGGTCATTAATTTAATTTGCAAAGAAACTCTTACTGCACTATATAGGCCCAATAAGATTGCACATTCAGATTTGAATAGCTGCTTAATCCATTGCCACCGCAAAGAGTACTTCGTTTCTTGCTACTTCTTTCATAAAATTGATAAAAGATGCCACAATTTTTTTTAGTTTAACACTCATTAGGAGTCCCCTTTCCCATTTGAGTCGTTGCAATATCAATAGTTCAGTTGACGTAATGCTGTTTTTGCCTATATATTGTCTTTTTTTTTTCACAACCTTGAGTTGGGACTCACATGGCAAGAGCAAATGTCAATATATAAAGATCACTATTTGTGGAAATGAAAGCAATGCTCGTTTTTGTTCTCCTCACAGGAACACGTTGAGAGGAACTCACAGTGGTGCCAGCTACAAAGTGCTACATTATGTCATGTCTGTCTAAGAAATTCAACCAAAAAACTGAACTGTTCCTCGCACCTTTAGTACTAAACTGAGGCTCCAAGCATGACCCCTTACGGTATTTCAAGCAAATTAAAAAAAATTTACATTACGACACTGCCAGAAACAACTCGATTCCTGCATTAAAAGTGGCATCCACTGTAACTTTAGCCACCTGAATGAGCTAGCGCTGTTCTACATGATCCAATATTCTATGAAATATTATGCCATTGGATATTCCCATTAGCTCAGGTGTCAGCTAGTACACAAGGGCCGTAATTCAGGCTAGTCGGTTGTTCACCACCACAAAAGCAGCACATCAATCACAGATGAACACAAAAAAGCATACGAGGGCTCGTATGTCTCTTCCTGTTTGTTCGTGGTGTCCACTGTTTTTTTTTTTACCATTAGGTATGAGTTGTTCAAGTTTTCAAAGTGTTCAAGAGCAAGAAATACTAATTTACGAGCAATTGTGATCAAGAGTTTCAAGTTCTAGCAGGTGAGTTGTAGTTGCACCCTAACTTGGATAAGACAAGCCAAAGACTAGAAATTCAATATGGTTACTAACACATTTTTAAGGCACCTAAATTATTTGCAGACCAGTACCTACGGCACCTTCACTATTTATTCAGTGAAGATATGTGATGGTGACTGCAATTCTAAGAGGTGTAAGGACATGGCTCTGCTTCTTGAAAGATTGTCTCTGAGCTTTCAAAGAGCTGTAAAGCAGCTACAAATGGATTCGTGTCGACTAAACACTAGACTGTAAATTTGGTAATTTGCACTCGCTGACTAAGAGCACTGGTGAGGCCTTACCTTGGAGGTCCAAGGTAATAATGTCTGGGGTTTCATATGGCATAACCACGATATAATGAGGGATACCGTAGTGAAGGGATCTGGAAATTTGGGCAATCATGTGTTCTTTAAAATGCGCTGAGATTGCACAGCACACAGGCCTCTAGCAGTTTGCCTTCATTGAAACGTGACTGCCACGGCTGGGGCCGAACCCGCACACTTTTCAGGTCCAAAGATAAGCCCCGTAACAGCTACCCCACCGCGCCAGACAAGAGGTCCAAGGTAGGTGTGGTGAAGGGAAGCAAGCCTGTATGAGAAGCTAGTTGCGGCCAGACTGACTCGATGCGAATCCCCCACAACTGTTTTCTTTCAAATAATTCAACAGTGGTTATCTAACACTTCTACTGTGCTTCAAAACATGCAAGAGCATGCCGTTAGTAGTGCAAGTGCCCACCCGCGGAGAGATGTTTGGATAGACCGGGTCATCGGGTGCAGCTGCTGGCCGCTGCTCGGTTCCATTGGTGGCCATGCCTGCGGCACCTGTCGGGGACCCAGGTGGTGCCTGGGCCTCACCCGCCGGGCTTCCCACCGAGCTGACCATGCTGGAACGTCGGCTCTGCTCAGAGTCGGCTGGGATGAACGAAATAAGCGGAGACACAATTGCAGGGACAGAAGAGAGTGAGAGGAAAGGGTGAGGAGAAAGAAAAACCCGAAAAAGCCCGTGTTAGTTCATGGCCCCAAAAAATAAGCACGAATTCATGCACCATTACAGTAAACAAGGCAGGAACTACAACGAGATGTTTTCTGCTTTCCCAACAACAATCAAACCACGATAACACCATGCTAGATGCCTTGCTTTTTGTCGCAATCAGCAAGTGACACGCCAGATTGACGGTACATGGAAATTATGAGCGTTACACGACTCGGTGGGATCTAAGAGCCATTTAAATCAGGAATACTGAACACAGAACCATTTGGGTGCAATACTGCAGAATTATTTTAACTAGTACATAAAATGAGTAATGGTTAGTGCCTGCAATTGGAGACACTACATGCCTTCAGAATACCTACTTTATTGAGAGTGAAAACAGCATGGGAAGATGGGACAATGGAATGAAGCACATATGCACAGCACCAGCTCACCCCATCCTCCATAAATGTTGATTTGCCATTACGCTCGAACCTTGATATAACGAACTCAGATATAACGAAATATCTGTTATAACAAAGTAAATGAAGCATAGTTTTGCAATATATACAGTGCTAGGGGTATACCTTTATAATGAATTTTCAAATACTATAAGAAACTTCTTTTTGTGTAAGATGCAACTTCGTTATAATGAGATTTGAGAGTATTACCAGGGGCCAAGGCATTAAAACATACATTTTCTGGCTAACTTCCATAAGGTTCAGGACCTATGAGATACGACAGTTTCTCTATTTCACCAGCAGCACATTCCCATCAGCTGCCGTCCATAATGAGCAAATCTTTTCAATTACACCAGCAGAGTTCTCTCTGATTAGACTAATGACACGCATAAAAGTTTACACAGGTAACACATGATCCTTATGAAAAAGGAACAAACCATTATGACAGTCATCCTTATGTCATGACCCAGTATTTTCATAGGTGGTGATGATTACTTGATACACAGTCTATAAACATTACCTATTTACAATGTTAGCAGTTAAAGTACAGACATCGCTCTTTGGCAGACCCAAATTTAAAAGAACGTGAAGCCCTGAACAGCAGTTCTCAAATGTATAAAAACAATTTTAGAAACTTGTTCGAAGCAGAAGCTCAATTTTGATTTTGATTGGCCCTGAGAATCGCCGACCTGTACACTGGCTATCCATTCAAAGTGCACTGCTTAAGTGTACAAGACAGATATCTGGTATACAGAGGTTTTTTTGTTGATTTACATGTAATTTTTTGTTGTTACTGCTATTATAATGAGTGCGAACATTCAAGGTTTCAGGTATCTAATAGCAACAGCTTGTACGACAGCAAAAGACACTAAAGCTCTGCAGGACTTCTTTCATACTTCCAACCAAAGTTCCGAAGTTAGAAAGCAGCAAGAACATGTACGATATATTAAAAAAACTACAGTAGGAACAACCTCAATCAATTTAGATGAGGAACCTGCTGTGAACAAAAAAACTTTGGCAACAGGCAAGGTGTTTCAGTCTTGCCTGCAAGCAGGCAATGTTAAAAACTAGAGATAACTGTTACACTAAAGAATGAGAGGTTATCATTTATTGTTAAAGATTTATTTGTTCATAATCCACAGCAAACAAATCATACATTAGTTTCACAAAGCTTGGTGTAACAAAAATAAAATATTCAATTATAAGATAGGATTTATAGATTCAAAGATTGACCAATTTATTTGAAAGTGTGTGGCATAGAATGAAAATATGGCATTTGCTGCGAAGATCAGTCAGAACAGAGTGAATTTAGCGAAACAATGTTTTGTTTATCAAGTCCCATGTAGCACGCAGTTATGAGAAAAGCAATGGCAAAAGCAAACTAAAACAACAGCAAAACGAAAGCATAGCAATTTGATAGTTCTGCTGCTACACAGTTTTAGATGCACTTATTCTAATTGAAAACAAGTGTTCTGCACTGCACCAGCATGGCCTTCTTTCTGCTAAGAGCTGAGTCCACAGTTCTGAAGCAAAAGGTGGTATATTGAGTTATCCACTCATCTGAAACAATCAATGGAATCAAGTGCTATGTCTTCAAAATAACAGGTAATGTCTTTAAAATTCTTAATTTCAACAGCCATCACTAACAAACATTAGCACTACGCATCCTGCACCAAATAAAAAAATAAGCCACGTGTCTAATGGCACTGCTGTTTCTTAGGGCCAGTTTAATTCATTCGATTTTACAGCAAAAGCTGTTATGAGTTCAGAACACGGGTCACGGGTGGCGCTGTAGTGGTCTGCCACCGCTGGTGTTCGTAACCAGTGTCGCAAGAAATAAGAAAAAAAAACTCAGTAAATACAGAACACCTAAAACACAATGGAATTCGAACCCGGGCCTACTGCGTGCCAGCCCAGTATTCTATTATTGAGTGACGACGGTGCTTGGAAATAGTTTCTAAACTGCCCTTAGGCAAGCTTGACATGGGGAAAAGAATTGCGTTAGTACGAGTAATAAAGCGTTTTAGAACACCAAAGAAACAAGCAGGCATCACACAATGTGAATTGCATAACGAGTGGGTCGTCCAATGCTTTAACCCATCAGAAAACTAGTTCTTGATCACCTATTAACTGTGGCCCATACCCACTTCAGGCATAATTCTTCATCGTCGTCAGCCACTGCATAAAAAAATTTAACAAAAGTCCTAGCAAGTGTCTAGCAGATACCACGCTTCTCCGAAGAATGACCATGGTTAGCATAGTAAATGCTAGCCTACTACACAAAAATTATTATTTTCTTGGCACAGTGGGTACCCACCCGGCAAGTGTGCTTGTAGCAGTTACCCAAAGAGTGCCTAGAAAAGTCTCTGAAAGGCAACTCTTCTAGCTTTCGCTGTGCCTGCGGTGCACGAACCACGCAGGCCTGGCGTTTTCCATATATATTTTTAAGCAACACAATGGTATTTAACTGTATTAAGACACTATTCTAAGTTTAAACACTTTCTGCAGAATTCAGGCAGCAAGCAACAACTTGTTTAGATGAATAGCCGAGAACCAACCATGCAAATGATGCAAAGTGTACATGCCCACAGTCGCACTGAATTTACTGTGCTGTGCTGGTCTATTAACAGCTCTTAAATCATGCCTGAATGAGCAGGGTGCATATGCCTTCCCTATTCGCACAAGTGCTAGCATTAAAGGTCTGCACTAGAATTAGGTCTGCACTAAAGGAAGCTTGCGCGGCAGCGGGTTTTCCCAAAGTTACGCTGTGTCAGGCATGACCACCTACTTTGAGCTGAACACTCGGAGAAAACACAGCAATATTGAAAACAATTCAGAACCAGAATTTTTTGTTAGCGTCAATTTCGCTTTTGCAGTTTTTATAAGCTTTGTATCCACTTGTTTTGCACACTTTCACGTGCATTAGCAATGAGGCTTTGCAGATTTGAGTGTTGCTTTTTGTCGTTCTGGCTAGTGCTTCCATTGTCATTTTTTTTTAACCTTTTCATTTGCAGTTAACAGTCTTGCACTACTCTTTATAGGTAATTTGCTGAAAAGGTTCACTTGTTAGAATAGCATACACACTAGTTTATCCAATTTAATGCAATATAGAAATGGCTATATGGTCATGGTATGCATCAAGACCACTTCACATTACAATAAAAGAATAGATGCAAACTATCTGCATTCTTTGTTATTGTTTTTCTTCTCAAAAAGGCCTGAGATTGCTAAAGGGCATCAAGAAATGATGTGGTGCATTTGATGGCACAGTCAATGAAAATGAGTAGGTAGAAGTTCCCTGCTAAGAGGTTCAAAAAAGTCGTTATGAAAGGTGTGAAGTCATTAGGTATCGAAAATATAACTATTGAGGTGTGTAATTAAGGTCAGATATACACTGCAACGTAATGATAGACTGAAATGTATTTCAGTGTTGGGTAAAACAGTACTACTGCCTTCAAAATACATGGCTGGAGGCACGGGCTACCGTCGCAACAGCAGCATTTCAAGTGAAGCCATGTTTGACATTGAGAATTAGTGATGCATAAAGATCATTTCAAAAATATGAAACTGCTTTGGTGTCAAATAACAGCTCCAGCCTAAGAAACTATCTCAAGTATAATGACATACAGCGTTCATACACTAATATATAAAATGCTCTTTTCCCTTGGGATTTCGAGATTTCACAAAACACCGAGCATTATCTGATCTAAAAGGTTAGCAACATCAAAGATTAGTGTGGCGTTTTTCATGTTCTTTCCAGCCTCTGTCAGCCTGTAGAAACGCCCAGCCAAAGAACTGTCCCACGATATGGTAACGCGGTTTAGGGATTCGATTTTCTCTAATTCAGGTTTTTCCTCAAATGTGAGATTTCTCATATTGATCTTACATGGTGTTCTGCAGATCACTTTCAGTCTGCCAACACAAAACATTTCAATGAAACGCTCTTAGCAAATGTAATGGTTATAAATTATTTTTTTATTGTCAATGAAATGCAATAAATTGGTTCTGCTTAGTTCACGTCAGGAAAGCATGTGTGTGTGGCCTAGTGTTCCAGGCGTTTGCCTTCAGGCTGGGGGTGACCCGGGTCCACATGCCAGCCTCGCAATGAAAAGTTATTTAGTATCATTTATCATTCTTTCGCTGCGTGCCATCACAAGCTTCACGTGTTGTTTCATACAAGCGTTGCTTTAAAAGCAAGCATACTTCAAGAAAACTGACTGGGATTGGTGTCGCATACCCAGGAATGGCACAGTAGAGCCAGCTGTGGCAGACTTGGAAGAACGGATGTCAAGCCGTGGATCGACTACACTAGCCAGGGGGTCAATGTCCTGGGCATCGTAAGGGAGCAGCTCGGCCGCCTTGTTCACCTGCTCGACGTTGAGTTCGAGGTAGGCCATGGTTTTGGGTCCAGTCGAGCCAAGCTAGATCCAGTGGGACGACCAATGTCCCCACAGTTGAGCAAGCTAGTTCACTCCGTGACCAAGGGGTCCATTACGCCATAAATACCCCGCTGCCTGATTTGATGCGAGTATGTCGAAATCTGCATGGAAAAATGAACAATATATTCAAGGATTGTTGGCACAGCATAGACTATGAGCTAGGGCATGTGCAGCTAAAACAACGTTCTCGTGCCTGTGAGAAAGTGTGGATGGTACTGGAAGCAGGAATAACAGCTAATTCAGTTAATCGTCTTTTTTTTTTTTTTCAACTTGTTTTCTATGACAACAGCAAGCTCTTGTGGCTTACACTGGCGTGCTCTCAAGAACTTCTTGTTTACATCTTTTTCGCGATGCCATAAAAGTGAACCTTGCTTGCTATAAGAGTGGCCATAGTAATAAATGTTTAAAACTTCGAGAAAGATTTCTTCTAGCACTCTGCTTCGGACAACAAGGCAATGGCAGTCAGTATGTGAACTTGCCTAAGCTTCATCCTTAAAGAAAAGGCAGTACAATAAACATGAAGATGACGAAAATGCATGTACCCCCAACAAGTGCAATGCAAGTATGTTGCACCAACTCGTTCACTCTCTGTTGCTGAACTTCTCTCTCCTTTCTTCAGATAACTTGAGAATGAGAAAATTAGTCATTTTTCAACAAACGTATTGCCGTTTTAGTAACTCCGACTAATTGCAGTAATTCTACACAGCCTTTTTGCTCCAAAGGTACAAAAAGCCGACATGTTTCAAAACAACGGCTAATGAAAGTAGCAACATTGCAATGAACAAAGAAAGCCTGCAAGAACACCTGATGCCAAAAGCACGACGAAAAATCCATGTTTTAGGCATCATTTCTTGTGGAAGCTAAATGACAATATAAACAATGTTCCTTCTAGCGATTGTGGTAGCAAGATAGTACAACAGTCACAGCTTTTAACAAATTAGCACAGACATTCCCAGCGGAATGCAACCCTCCCGCCTCAAGATGCCCTCTCGCAACTACAGCCACTTGGCGGATTAGATATAATGATGTGCTTTATAAATCCAATGATTTAAAAAGAATGAAGCACAAAGATTGCCGCTCTAACTCTGCATAAGAGGCAGGTAACAGAATGCTATAAACCACATCTATTAAACGACCTGAAAGCAAATAAATGTGATTGATTGGCTTAAGGCTTACAAAATGTTATTAGTACTGTTGATGTGAGTTCTATAGGAGTTTTATTCACAAATGGGTGGCCAACTTCCGAACCGTGCATAAAAACTGGGTAATGTAGAGCATTCTATAGAGGGTAAACTAAGGTTTCAGTAGCAACTTTTGGTCAGTTTCTGAATAACGTCTTATTATTCAAGACAATAATTATTTAAGAAAATAATAACCAAGGTGAATTATACACCACAATAATTATTTTTTTAAAAGAAGCATGTGATAATCTGTACAGGTACCATATTTACAGTGAAAACAGTACTAACTAATAATTGGATAGTGTTAACTAACTAATGTAATAACAGTATAATAAAACAACACCCACACACAAAAACACTTCGTGAACTATAGCAACTCCTTTTAGTTAATTTCACTGCCATCTTTAAACTTTATATGTCTCGGCAGAAACAGCTTACAGAATAGTAGAATACTAATTCTACATCTTGCCAGATTATGTATGGTAAACCTCACACTGTATATTTTAAAATCGATTGCCCAGAACTTCTGAAGAGACAATGAAAAGTTTAAATAAAGCCTCCTCCTTTATTACATAAATTTTTGCCTAAGGCGTCAGCAGGATTTTGTTTTCACGGATGCAAACATGTGTTGCAACACAGCTGGGGGAAAGGGGGAACCGCTGGTGTACCTTTGGTAGAGGAAAGTGCCTCTCTGCTGTACGCCCCTTGCTGACGCCCATGATTTTAGGCTTTCTTATTTAGCATAAATACGTTCCAGCAAAGATCCATCATTAAAAAAAAAAAAAAGACGAGACAGGGTCATGTTATTTTGTGAATATTTATCAACTTGTGAGCTCACGCAAGGAAAAAAAATTTAATGAGAATTGAAGCAACACAGGGCTCTAAATTTATGAAATTCTACAGCTGCTAATAGTATGTACATGTCCATTTATAACATGCTCGTTGTGGATCACAAAATACATTAACAGTAAGACAGTTCATGAAAGATTCGTGCTTCAGAATTAAGTCATCAGCATATCTTTAAAACCGATAAGGTATGTTCTCACAACTTCAATTCTATAGAAATAAAGGTAATGTGATGCATTCCCATGAACTTTTTGATATGTTTAAAAAGTAGATCCTGTGAAGCTTGCAAAGAGACGAACTGCTTCATACACTAAGATGATAGGTAAATTGTTGAACGCTTAAAAATGTTTTAGACCTTAGTCTTGATTTGATGAAAAGGTGGTTGACTGGTACTGTTTTTTTAGACTAGTGGCGATGTCCATTACATTACTTTCCATAAAAATACAGGCAATTAATAGTAAAAATTTCTGTGAATTGATGTGCCAACATGACAATTATGGGACCCGCTGTAGTAGCAGATCTCGGATCAATTTTGACCCCTTGACACTCTTTGCTGAGCACCAAAATGTACCTACATGGGTGCTCTCGCACACTGCCCTCGTAAAATAACGGCCGCCATGAGCAGGAATCGAATTAGCCTCTTCGAAATTAGTTATCCCCCACCTTATCAGCTGAGCCACCACGGCAGATAAATGCAAGAAATTATCAATTGTATTAATTATAGACTGGGAAACCATGCTGAATAATCACAATATAGGGTACAATGCTTACACACACAAGAAGTACATTTGCTCAGCAACATGTGCGTATGTCTCGTCTGAATGCTCATTCGCACTCTTGACCTTTTCCCTTGTCCAAGCTGTCAAACTTGGCATGCTTTCAATCTCACATATGAATGCAGTTGTGATTAAAAGTAAACCCTTGGATTATGAGCGTTCTGGCTGCTTTTCATCAAAGTTTCCTATAAGGCTATCTAAGAGAAAATATGACAGCACCATACAAGTGAACGAAGCGTTGGAGGCTTCGAACATACTCAGCACTTATAGGCATGTGATGTGTCCAAAAGTGCAAGATAAGAACCTTATATAAATAACATATTCATGAAATGTGATGATATTGTAGCAGCACATTTTTTTCTATTACCATTTACTCAAAAAGATATTAAAAGATTGAAACCAATCCATATTCAACAATGACTGACTCACCCTTCCTTCAAATCAAATCATGTGGTTTAATGGTTTAAGCAACGCAACATGTATAAGACAGGAGGAGAGCATTTTGAGTTAATTATGGCAGCCTTGAGTTCTTAGAAGTTATCTTAAGCATGGTACAAAGGCATATTTTGCCACTATCTGAAAGTAGCTCCAATAAAGTTGAAATTCTCAATTAAATTATTTTTTCTCACCATACTGCTCTTCATCAAGCTACTGTAACTTTTTTGTACTCAACTTATTTATTAAAATTTGTCATTCTCATTGGCGTATAAGTTCCCAGGAATATCACAAAGTAGATGAAAAGCTATAAAGTGAAATATGTATCATAGCCATCGACCTTTATGTAGCAAAAGACACATGTAAACTTATACGTATTTTTAAGAAAGAAACACTGCTCAGCTCAAGAAAGATTTGGCCTTGTCTGGGGTTTGAACCCAGGACCAACATCTTTCCAATCTAGTCACTCTGCCTACTGAGCTAGCCAAAAGGCTAGCAGTTAGCAGCATTAGAACAAATTAATATGATAAACAATTGTACTGCAAGTCACTAGTTTACAGCTGGTGCATAAATTGTTACATTTCTGCTTACTGGCCATGGACATTTTACAAGTTCCATCAACAAACTACTGTGGTACACTTCAGAGCAGTGCATAATCAGCGTTGAAATTTATTATCTGGTGTCACAGTTGGTGAATGTGCAATATATGCGTTGGTGGCATCAAGTTAAGTTGTCCTGCATCTTAAATGGGTTCCGCAATACTTCTTGAACAGAGTCAGGAAATGCCTCCAGTCAGCATTCGAGGCTCCCGAGAAAATGCGAGCCAAATATTATAGCATAGCACACCCACAGACTGGAATTCATTAAAAATTCTCAAAATTCACTAAAAACACTTTCTATTCTGTCGACAAATGACACTATATGCTCAAAAATCATTGTGGCATATGCCCAAGTACCATGTCATTGGCTGATTTGAGCTTGATGCTCTTGGTCGTTAGTGGGATTGCCGTGGGAGGCCATGACTTGTCCACATGTGTGTGTGCTCACAATCATGCCGAAAAGCCATGCATTTGAAGAAAAAAAAGTACAGAGAAAAAGTACTTAAGGTCACAAAGTGCACATGACAAACCCTCTTCCATCGTTTCATCCCTCTTTGCTTCACGAAAATGATTAACCCAAGCATGCAGCCAATCTCTAACAGGTAAAGAAAAAAAAAACGTGCTGTCATTCCGGCAGGGTCCTTCACAGCAAAATGGCATACTGAATAAAATTCCGTGGAGCAGTGTGATTATTTACACATTTATGAATAAAATTTTGGTTTGTACTTCAAGAATTACACTTGGCCTTAGTGGGTTAAAGGGCACTTAAGGCAAATAACAATTTATGTCAGTGAGAAAATCTCACTATACGACAAGGTCTCAAGCAGCAGTGCCCGACGCATCGAGAAATTAAGCTAAATATATCACACTACGTGCACCACAAGTGGGATATTTTGGAAATGATCCCGGTGATATGAGAGCATCTGAGTACTATCAATTGCTAGTAATCAAACTAGCTAAAATAAAAAAAAACGTTCGGTTAATTAAGAAACATAACAAAATACTGCTTATCTGTTTGATTCATAGAAAAATAACCACCTGGCGATACTATGCCGAATGGCGCGAGTAGTTCCAAAACATGATTCTTAGGAAATTTGACGGCTCAAAAATACTGTTTTTGCTTGGCTAGGCTTGACAGGTGGTGCCATCTAGCAAGGCCCAGTTTAACCAAGCAAGCTGAGAATTGTTGAGTGGCCGTTGCTGCTGTGGCTCCCGCCACTGTCACTTTGCTGCTACTAGTGTCAGTGGCTGTGCAGCAAAGGCAGGCAATGCTGGGCATAGCTGCACCAGTGATGCAAGAGAGACGCCTTTCAGGCGGGTTATTTGAAGTGCGCTAACGTGATGCGGACTGTTAGAATGCAATTTTATTTCAGCATAAGCACTTCCTTGGCACAGAAGAAGCACCACGAGGTTTCTGGACTGCCATTTCAACAATCAACACTGACTTAATATTTGCCATTAATGTCTCTTTAATGGCTATGATTTGGCTAGCTGGCCAAATTTCAATGTTTACGACACAGATAAACACAGCGAAGGATGATTGTGGAGAATACACACACAAGACTGACAAAGTCGTAAGTTCGACTTTCTAAATAACTGAAAATTCACACCCTTGGCAATTTCTATAAAGAACTAGGACACACATAATGAACATGTTTATGTATTTGTTTGTTCTATATAAACAAAAATTAATTTGGATCACTTAAATGTGTACTCTCAGGAGGCCATTTGTTTCATGCTTATTTAATTCAATTCATTTATTATTCACAAAGAGATATGTACATCAGTTTGGTTATAAAGGCAGGGCCCCATAGCTCGCAGAGGAGTTGTGAAGGGAGCCATTATGTCGTATCCAGTTATACCAACACAAGAGCGCGCAAGGAACTAGTATGATGGGGATAGAATTCAAAAAAGTGAAGGGAGCATGAACCAATGTAAGTGAACTTTGAAACAGGTAAACAACTGGCATTTTGTTACATCTATTAGTAGTTTGTTCCAGAGATGTGATGCGGTATTTGTGAATTAAAATGATCTATAATTTGTGTGAAACTCCAGAGTGTTTAAAGTACAGGAGGTAACTGACCGTATTGGGCATGGGGTGTTCTAGTAACTAGTTTTTACAGAAGAAAGAAAGTGTATTTTCTATTTCCAAGCAATGCCGACAAGTTTCGAAAAATGCAGGAGCTCCACTGCAGATATTTATAAACACGGAAGAGTATGATGACTCGCTACTTAGGAAAGTTTAAAAAACTCTGCATGTTACAGTTAGAGTTCTATACAAAGCATTGAAAAGTTGGGACATGAACCATCAATGCTTCTATGATGTTAATGTTGTGACAAAGGGAAAAATGTCACAAACTGCATGATTGACGCAGGGTACAAAAACTAGACAGACATGGCAATGACAGCTGCCACATTTTAATCGCTTGGGTTAGTAATGCTGACAGCAACTCAGCTATAGAGTTGTGTGCAGTTGAAGGTGTTGAAAAGTAGTTAGGCTGCTAGAATGATGAAGCAGACAAAAAAAAAAATCTTGTGCAAAGCATATCATTCATTCAATGTGCATGCCCTATCTAAAAAAAGTCGCAGCAGAGTTTGTAATTGAACGCAAATTATGCAAAACCTGAATGTGGATAGAAAACAAAAACGAAGCTACTTCAGACGAATTTCCGATAAAAATAAACGGCAACAAGTCCAGAAGTGCCCAGATTAACTTAATAAGCTCCCTCTATATGTCAAAATATGGTTTAATTACTGTAGTATAAATAGATCGATTGAACAGAGACTGAATGAATAATGTCACTGCGCTGAGTGTGATCTTTTTTTTTTTCTGACTCCGTTTTTTCGCGCTGCTCTCTACGACTGATAACGGTCTAGAGGCAGCATTACAAAAAAAAAAAAAATTCTCAAGAAGCGGGCTTCACGCTTTAAAATAGCAGTGCTTAACACAATTGTTCAACAAGTTCAAACACAGTTACACACACACAAACACACATGCAGTTACAAACACACCTGCACACACACACAAATGAATACTGGTTCACATGTATGCGCTGTTCAGTAGAGTCTAGTTCCGTCGTGCCCAAGCGTGTACACAATTAAAATAGCGCGTGGCATATACGAGGAACCAATTTCTCAATCACGGTAATCATTCTAAATGCCGCGAGCAGCGCGATCACGTCCAACCTGTTCGTTTTCAGTCAAGGCCGAAGTTTCTAGCGAGGGCTATGTCAGCTACCCCCGCGAAACTGCGGACGTAACGGAACATCTTAGGGCTAAAATTAATCGCAAACGTACGCGAAGGTACCACACAATGACTTCATCTGCTCGGTACGGGGGTATGCATGAGGTTTCTTTCTTTTTTTTTTTTTTTTTTTTTGTCATTCGTCAAGATGCGAAAGTGTCCTCGAAAATAGCACTGCGGCAAAGCTCGCTGACATCGCGAAAAGAGTGCGCCTCTGCGTGCGACAAAAATAGAATGACTGCCACATCTTTCTCGTGCCGGAACTAGCCATCCGTCGCGCGTATTTCCCCGAATAGGAACCGCAAAGCGCGCTCTATTCCACGGCAGATCGCCGCGAGCCGCACCTCACAGCGGCTGGGCGACGTGGATCGTGGCGGAGCTTGGCAAGCGGTTCCGGACGCTGGTCTCGTACCTTTACAGTCCGCTGTGCGGCGTGTTAAAGCACTGCGACGGTGGAGTGGCCCGCGTCCACGATGTCGCTGTTCAATGACGAACGGCCACGCTTCGCGACAAAACAATCACATCTCGCCGTTCTATCGAACTCTGGGGCAACATTATGACAGACGACATCATGGAGAATGACGCGCTGTCTCGCCCCCTGTGGGTTAAAACAGGCATCAGCAAAAATTTCTTATTGTAACTGTACGCACAACAATTTGAACAAGATTGAAACATTTTTCAAACATATTTTTACATTAGTTAATTTTTTGTTGGTTTATTGTGTTTAGTTGGAAGTCTAAGGTTGTTTCTTTTCGTGTAGTTCAAGGAATAGTGTCACCAAGCTTCAAGGCTTCCCTTCTGCAACTGCAGAAATGCGTCATAGCTGCCATGTTTTGTGGTTGGGACATGGAGGAAGGAATAAAGCACTCCGTGGAATAAAGTGTTCCTTCCTCCATGGGTTGAGATCACGGAGGAAAGAAAGAGATCATAGAGAAGGAACACCTTTCCTTCCTCCGTGGAGAAGGAATAATCACTTCGGCTCGCGTTGTCTTAAACATGACCTACTACACTCCTGACCTGCCCAGAGAGCACCTCTTCCAGCGCCCACGTTCTAGTTCATACCTTCTGCCGCTAGGGCCGTCACCTACGAGCGGCGTGGCGCTAGGCAGCACCTGTTCGCTGTCGTCTGCTTCAGCCATCGCTGTGGCAGTGCAAATCGTTCTTATTGTGCATGAATTGTGTATGAATGTGTAAAATATGGCAAATAAAGCGATATGATTCCTCGTCAGAGTTGGCTGCATTCGTGTGGACGTTTGAAGCAGAAATAGAACCGTAAAAAAAGCACACAAAGGGTCACAGTGGCAAGCAGACGGGAACTTTTCTACAAATGAAGGAAAATTTATTATGAAAATATTTCTTGAATGAAAACGTAGTCCAACGAGATAAAAAAACTATTGTTAGGCATTCATTGTTCACACTGAATCACGATGGTTCCAGACGATACGCATACACAAATTGCAGAAGATACGCAGAAACACAGTAGGTCGTGTGCAGAAACTTGCAGACGGTAGATAGCTGCAGTAGTCAGCTCTAATAGTGGCCGCGTGCAGTTTTTTTTTTTTAGATGAGCTGACACCTCAAATGTAAGTATGGTGTATTGCTGCGTGCCATATTGCAAATCGGAACAAGGCAAACAAAGTAAAGTAAGTTTTCACGAGTTTCCTGCCACAGACATACGGGAAGAATGGATCGAGGCAATTGGAAGAAAAGGTGAGTCTTGTGTTTTTGAGAGTCGTTTCAATTCAGAACGAGTTGCAAGCTAGCAAGAAGCACCAGGGTGCTTTAGTAAACTTTATTTCCGTGTGTTATGCTAATTCACTGAGCTAAAAAACATGAAAGCTTTTTTAAAGTACCGCGGCTAATATGGCAGGCTCCACAAATAGTGCCAAGAAATTTAAATATAGCACACAAGAAAAAAGTAAATATACGAAATCTGTAAATTATGTAAAAATGCGTAGCGGTGGGTTGCGAGGGGTTCGAGCACCCTTCCCGAAGGCTGCCTCAACAAATGCCGCCGAAATCCATAAAAAAATTAATGATATGAAATATTTACGTGCTGCCTCCACAGTTTGTCTCTCTCTGTGTGTGTGTGTGTGTGTGTGTGTGTGTGTGTGTGTGTGTGTGTGTGTGTGTGTGTGTGTGTGTGTGTGTGTGTGTTTAGCGATGGACAACTCTTGAACACTGGGTGTCACTGAAGTTAGCGACCGAATTTGGTCAAATGTATTTCTCATCTCAAACCTCTATCTTCCCATACAGCTTTGTTCGTTTCTGTATAAGCTTACTTAAGGTAATTAGAAACGTTACGCCGGTAACGAAATGTGGCGATTAACTGTTCACTCTATATAGGGCTGGCAGGCGGTCGGGTATAATGACATAATTGAAGTCCTTCGTGCAATGAGCCCATCGGCTCTGTGAGGGTTAAGAGACCCAGCCGGTGAAACCGAAATGAGGAACCTGGAATAATCAGCGACAGATACTCTATTTATGTGCGTGCTGCATCTGAGATTACATCATGCATGACAAAGATTCGTTTTGGAGAATGCAAAAGAACAAAAACCACTGAAGTCATCGTCGTCAACGGCGGAGTCATTGTACAGGTTAGAGGTTTGCGCTCTAAACCAAGACCAAGGCGCTCAAGTGCGCCTCGGTTTCGGCTCTGTCGTATTGGGTCGCGCTTCGTTACTGAGCAGCCATTAGGAAATTCAGCTTTGTTATGAAACCTTGTATAGCCAATGAGCTCTTCGAATAAAGGGCTTCAAGTATGCCACTGGACTCGACCACGTACCATCACTAAACATCAATCGACGAATGTAGTCATCTAAAAAGACATTTACAAAGGCTGCGAGAAAATATGAAAATGCACTAAATGGGTATACAGGTACTTCCCCAGAATAAAATCGTGGCTATGCTTTTTCTTAACCTCCCCATTTGGCTTGTTACATTTTGGAAAAATTAATTACAAAAAAGGTGTTATGGACTGTTATTTTGCAATCTTGCTAGCCATGCGTATACGCCTTTACCTTTGATGAAGGTTCAGGAAAGCATCGCTGGGAGCCCAGCGACCGGTCGAAGGTATGCAGCCTGCATTTTACCGCTGAAGATTACAGAACAGTGACGAAAAGGAAGATGTTGAAGCCCACAGCCGTGCCTTCCTTATTTCCCGCTTCTCCTGATCCACGTGGGCAAGATCCAATGCCGCGGAAAAAGCGGCTAAAACGAACGCAGGGGGAAACAACGCTGGCACCCATACAAGTAAAAATACTGTAAGTAAAACTTGAAGTCTAACACAACAACGGATAAGAATAATGTTAGCAGTATTCCCTTATGCGTTTAGCGGGACAATATATCTGTCATGCTTCGCTATTTTTTCGGCTTAACAGGGGAACGTCCAACGCAGATTCTTCTCAAGAAGAGCGAGCATCAGCGGAGCCTGGGGAAGTATATAGTTCTGAAAACCCAATTGAAACTGCACAAGAGGCCGAGTGGTTGCATTTTCCATCAAGTCAGGACAACATGGAGGACTGTAGTTCAGTTATACAAGGGGAACACCAGAAGAGGCCAGTGCGGCGCTCCATGACGTCGCAAACGTTGCATGCCTCCATTGTATCATGTACGCGCCCAGAACCTTGCTAGCACATTTTATTGAACTATGACCCAAATGCACGCAGCTCTGTACGCGTACATATGTTTTTCTTTATTGCAGACACAAGCCGTCACTGTGTGCCAGCAAGTAGGATATTCTTCGAAAGTGCAGAAACTTTGTTTGAAACATCAGCTTTAACTGGCATATTGTGGCACGCATAAGTAAAGCGACAAATATGTTTTGTTTCATTTTGAAGTGGTGTAACATTGCTCGAATCACACGCATACACTCGCCAAATTCTTTTAGCAGAAACCTTGATATCACTTTGAGGGATCTGCTTTTCATTGACAAACGAGTATAATGGCACATTTTCAGCATGTGTACGCGCCCCAACTGCGGGTGTCGCCCTTGGGCGCTATCAATCAAACATAACCACTAGTACAACAAAGGCGGTACTATTCCGCCCTAAAAATAAGTCTGTTAATGAAAACATACATTTCAAGTATGGCGATACTATTATTGAGTTAGTAAATTGTATAAAAATTCTTGGAGTTACATTTTCGAGCAATATGCTTTGAAACGATCGCATTTACAGTGTGCTGGGTCAGTTATCTCGCGTAGAGGGCACGGTGTACAGTGGCAAAACTGTTCTACTATACAAGGTAAAATTCTTACTTTATAAATGACTGTTCTGTTGGCATCTTGCTTATTGTTTCTTGGTATGAAGGACTACGACTAACACGCGCTTACAAAAACTGTACCTGATGCAAAAGACGTATATTAGAATAATTTTTTACTGGTCGTATGATGCTCGCAGAAGTGAATTGTTTCAACAGGCTGGAATACCACCCCTACATCGTCTCTACGATTTTAAGTTAGCATTGGTGGTCAGGCGTCAATTTCAAGAAAGTCGACATTATTTGTACGACCTCTCGAAACTGCAGCCAAATAATTTGTTCGAAACATGACATAAAGAAACATGGAAAATAAAAACTTCGAGAACAAACTACTCCACAGATAGGTTGTTCTACACAGTTTCTACGTTAATTGATAAATATGTGAAAGCTGGCATAGATTTCTTACTCTGTACCCGAACTCAATTGCACGATATACACATGTATAGTTTTCAAGATTTCTTTGCAGTTGCTACATTGTTATCATGGTTGCTATTTTTATTTTTAGAATTTGAACTTGATATTTTTGTAATTGTTGCTTAGATAACATTGCTAACTGTTTGCCAGTGCTGTCGTGCTAAAGGCGTCTGTGGGCCTATGTCAAGCTGCCTCTTTCGAAGAGCAGCTTTTACCTGCCGCTGTCCTTCATCAAACTATTGATGAAAAATAAAACATTATTATTATTATTATTATTATTATTATTATTATTATTATTATTATTATTATTATTATTATTATTAACTATGCTCGACAAGATGATGATAATGATGACGATAAAAACTTTATTGGGGTCGCAATGTGTTGCCCTCGATAGGCACATCACTGCCTTTACCATATCGTCTCATCGCACGGACATATAAAATCATAGAAACGCGCATCGGCCAGCGCTCCCCGTTCCAGCAGACAAACTCCCGTAGCGAAATTTGACGCACAATTTTTGTTGTGTAGGTCACAGTAAGAGTTAAAGCTTCAATTCCTGTGTCTCTCCTTGATATGCGTCCGTGGGCGTATGTGCATTATTCTCTTCTATCAATTGACTACAAGTGTAACACCTGTCCAGGGCGAGTGTCCAAGGTAAGTGCTCAACAGGGGCACTGCGTTTCACCTGACGCGTCCTAAACAACCTAAAATCAGTTTGATATTCTATTACCAATGAGTACATTATTAGTCAAAAGCTTTATGAATACTAAATTGAAGTTTTTTTAGGCTGGAATGGCAAAAACAACCATGCAGCAAGACATTTCTACGCAAATATACAGCTTTAGAAGTCAATCAACCAGTATAGCCTAACTACTAAAATGTAACACATAGCACACGTTAGCCTTTTCAGCAAAAAACAATCACACGTATAGGCAGTTTGTCACAGAAGCAGACGCATGGTATCAGTCCGTCGCCCTCCTGCCGGCCGCACAGTAGCAGACGAACAGGTTATAGGTAGCGCCACCTACGGCGAGCGATTGAACGAGAGCGGGGACACGCGCTCCCATAGGAACCCCGCTATCTGAACAGGTCAGGAGTGTAGTAGGTCATGGTCTTAAACTTGGCCAGATATGACTAAGTCTCCGGCTTTTGGCTGTGCCGCACGCGAGCGCCGCACGCCAGGGAGCAGTCGCGCGTCGTCGGAATCGTCAGCTTCCCCCGTCGGGGCGCTGGCTAAGCCTAACCGAGGTTTTTATCCGGTCCCCGCGATGAGAGGGGCTATGCAACGGTGTTGTTGAGGGAAACGCAGCGCGGCTAGGCATGCCTAGGGGAAAACCCAGAGGACGCCGCGAAACCGGCGACGTCGTGAAATGGCAGATCATCGAGCTCTGGGAGGCAGGCGTGAAGAACAAGAGCGAGATCGCGCGCCGTCTCCACCTGTCGTGGACGGCCGTCAACCTGTGGGTGCAGCGCTGGGAGAGCGAGGGCCACCTGAACGTGCGGCCCCGGTCTGGCCGGCCGCGCACCACTTCGGGCGATGACGATACCACCGTGAACACTTACACCGCCTTCTACGGCGGAGCGGCCAAGCCGACCGTTCAGGTCAAGCTCGAGCGGCCGGACGAAAGACTCTCGGCGCATCAACACAACCCTCCGTCTTTCGCGACTGCCGCTGCTGCGGCTAGTGGTGGGACCGAGCAATCGGCTGCGAACGGCCCGTTGCCGCTGCTTCCTCTGCGTCAACTCACGGATCCCACTTGCTTCGCGAACCATCAGAGCGCCTTTAAAAGAAGCTTCGAGACGAACGGCGGGGACCCGCACCATCCGGCCGAGCGTCACGAGGAAGTGGTCGGTCTCGATCCTCCGCCGCCGCAAAGACTCAGCCTGGCCACTCAGACGGACGGCAGCAGCACGACGCCGCCATCTGAGGTGGCCGGATAGCCGATGCTCGCACTTGACGATGAACTGAAAATACTTTATTTATTGTAGTCTTTAAAATACCGTGAGACTGATCGCCACGCGCTCATCCAGTTTTGGGGCGCTGTGGGGAAGCGCGCGCGGCCTCTCATAATCATCGCTTGTATTTTTACAGAGGCGGTACTCTCTTTCTGTGCGTGATGCGGCACAATCTTCTGAATTTAACTGGACGTGTGTGGATATATGCGCGTAGACATTCCAAAGCGCGGCAAAGAAAGGCGCCTGTTCCTGGTCGTGTCAAATACCCCCAGTATACGCATCTAACTGAACTGTAAATAGGCAAGGATGGTGTGAAACACTTTACACAGATTTGTGGGTTTTATTGCACTTATTCTGGCTAGCGGCAACTAATAGTTTTATCAACCGCTGCTCTGTTGGTCAAAAGTGTTCTGTGTGCAGCAGGCAGGATTCTGTGTGCAGCAGGCTTTTTTGTGACTTTTCCCGCTGTGGTACTTTTCAGGCTTTCGCGCTGCGTATACCGTATTGTGTATCGAGCACCTTTTTACTCGTGCATCTTTGTCTGGTCTCGTGTACGTAGTTAATTTTATAGAAACCCGGTGATTTTAATATATTTATGAACGCTTTATGAAATGCAATATGAACGTGATCTCTCGGTGTGCTCCGCGCCATTTTTTCCCCTCACGCAAATATACGAGTGATATGCAATGTCAGTCGTGCAAGTTTGAAAGCGTTGTAATAAACAAAGTGGAGTGGCGAAGTGTGTGAAGGGTGCGTCTCTTGCTCGACATTCGTTCGAAAACGAAATATAAGGGCTCGTTTACACCTGCGAATCGGAAACTTCGTGCGACAGTTGGTCGATTTTGTTGAAAAGGAAAAAGCCGAGTTCGTTTGTCGCAAAGCGTTGTAAACCAAAGGAGCAAGCATAGAACGTCAATTTTATTGCGTCTGCATCGCGGTGCGCGCAGATGTGACTCAGCACCGGTCACGAAGCATTTCGTGTGGTGCGTCACGTTATCCAGTGTGAACTGAAATGAACATTAGCTGCCGTAAGTCACTTAGCCGCTGTCGACAATCACCACTGAGATAACAAGTGCTAAGAAAAAACTCGATTGAGGGTTAACCGAGTCTGTCGTCTGCTACCCCTAAACAGACGACGGCGATACGCAACTGCTCCTCCCCTGGTGCTTTGAAAAAAAAAAAAAGTAATTGCTCAGCAATAACTTGATTTGAACAGACAACCAATCTTGCACGAAAGCGTCTAAAACTTTAGTTCTTTCTCGCTTCAGCTCCCCCCCCCCCCTTTTTTTTTGTTTTTCAAGAAAGAAAAGAAGAAATTGCGCAGCGTTTACGAAGTGGCGCTGCGGTCGACGTGCCCAGCGGCTCCGTCTGCGAGGCTTTCCACGTGCGAGCGGTGGTCCCAGTGCAGACGAAATGACTCTCGTAGGGACTCTCGAAAATGAGCATTCGGCCAAATTACTGTCCGGCCCAGCTCTGCAGGAGACCACGGTGAATGGAGTAGACTTGTGCGTTCATGCCGGATGCGACAGCGGCTCTGGTAAGCCTCCCTGGACCATTCTCATCCTCGCACCAAAGTGTGGCAATCGCATCCCGAGTTCGTATCGGGCCGCTCAGCGCTCACATGGGATCTCCGTCGCGGTGCGGCCGCGCACATTTCGCTATTTTCGACGCTTCTCCGGCCGAGAAAACGAAGGAGAAGGCTTCGATGACGATGCAACGGGACTACAGTGGGCTCTTTACGCCCCATGTACGGTCTTCAAGTATTAACGAGCACGCAATCGTAAAAAGTCTTTCGAGGTACGACTCGCTACCTTTATTTGACCTTTTCCTCCGGAGGTTAGGCCTAGGCATGTTGAGACCTGCGGCGGCTTTCGTTTTGAACCTTGTGATTTTTCGGGTTTCGATCGTGCGTGCTACACAGCGAAGAGGCGCTCTTCTGGCAGTATTTTTTACCACGCCTGTAGCATGCGTGCACCTTCCTCAAAAATGGGGAGGGCCTCGCTAAAGAAACGCGGTGGAAGAAGCGCGATTTTTATTTTTGTGCTTTTTAAAAGGTTGCGAGGAGGAGCCAAGTTTTGGGGACTCCTCTCCCCCTGGTTATGCTTTTTTTTTTCTTCGCTCAGCTGTTTCATGCCGCCTTCTCCTTTCCATTCGCGCCGGGGTTTAGCGTGCGTGATTGGAGTGAATCGTGATTTTCTGCTTTTTCTTCCCGAACAGGACGGGAAGATGCGCCGCGAGTAATACCTCGCCTTTACATTTGTTCACTCGAAAGACGCTCGTGAACGCCTGGATAAGATTTTTTTTTTTTTCCCGACAGGCGTAATTTACGAGTGAACACCCCAATGTGGTGCGTGCTCGGGTGTTAAAATAAATAATTGCCGCTTTCGAACGTTGCATGTCTGCAGAGAGAGCGAAGAAAAAGGAAAAGTTGAGAAACGGAAAGCGATAACTTCCGCTTTGCGATCGATTTCACCCTCTTTTGATTGAAGTCGCAAATGCGCACGTTTACAAATGCGATGGTGGTGCCTCGTGTCCGAGCTTTATTTTTTGCGGAAGATGAAATGACCTGCTACTACTGTAGCTGTTCGCACGTAATTACGACGTGCGCGCCGGTGGTTTCCTCCTTATCTCGCCCGCGGCGTGGACGTTATCCCGCGACAGACGTGTTATACGATAAGAGACTCAGTGGAAGGGAGACTAGCATGAAGAGACTAACTAATATCCGACGCGACAGGAGGGTCTGGGTACGCGTGAGCGAAGACGCGGCCAAGGGTTGCGCTGAACGGTGCGAAAAAGACGCACGACTAAAAAATAACCTCGGGGCATTCGCACGGCGCGATTTGCCGACGATTACGTGATGGTGTCCGAAGGCCGCCCTGCGTCGCAACGCTGACGCGCGTGATCTTCGGATGCACAGCTAGCTGCTTCGCCCCCCGGAATATGCGGGCGCCTGCGCGGAACTTGTTGTCCGATTCGGCGGTCATATTTCGTTCCGAGGTCCACTTTATTGCTGTTTTTGAAAAATGAACCGCGAGATTCGTGCTTGGTGTATCAACTGTGAGGCGCAACGCGGAAGCAAAGGTTATTTCTCGGATAGTAATTACGAACGGGCGTGGTAGGCAAGTCGTTAACTCGGTACAAACGACGTCATCTTCTCTTGTGGCACACCTAGAGTCTCGTGGCGAGGGGGGACACCCTTTCATATTTTTTTTTTAGTTCCCTCTCTCGTACACCAGCCAGGTGGCATGGATCGTTACCGAGAGTGGGTCGTAATTTGAGGCACCATATCCCCGATTGCGTTTGTACTTTGTCACTAATACAGTAGCTAGGTTATGGTTAAGTGTTGAAGAACCTAACGTTAATTTCAATCAACATATACTGAAGTGTAGGAAGTTGTAGGGCAAGTTATTTGTACTGTTTTTACGGTATTGCCGTTATTTTGGCATAAATGCAAAGAAATTACAGCTGCTTTTTGTCCGCTTTAAGTTCTTCACATCTACCTCGGCATTATTGCTTTGAAACACAAGTAGCGTGCCCTGTACCTTCCTCGGCTTGAGAGACTCTTAGTTTTCTTTATGTTCGTGACTAACAAAAACAAAAAAATGGTCCTTTGAAATTTCTCAACTTTGGTTCATTCAAGAAACCTAACAGATGCATCAGCTCGTAGCAACTGCTCAAACAACTCTTCATTTAAACATGGCAAAAAAAGAAAGCACTCCAACACCGAAGGAGGGTGTTAAAGAAAAAAGGGCACATGTTATTCTTTCTTTAGTGTACACAGGGTCATTCATTAACACAGCTGAACTACTTGAAAAATATTTTGAAGCGATAAGGTTATCACTGTTTCTGGTTGGCCACAATTTGCCTGGTCAGGTTGTTGGTAACGTACCGGCGCGAGGCCCACCCCTGGAGAAGCGGGCGCTGCAATCGCGGTGACGCACAGGGTTGGATCACGAGATCTCGCCTCGCTCTGGCGAAAGAAAGCTGGCAGTTGAATGCGTTGTTTCTAACCACGACTTTGCGGTGTTTTCATTTTATGAACAGTGTTGTATTGCTCTGACTTAAGGTGCGCATACTTCTGCAGACTACACAATGCCAGGAGTTGCAGTACAAGTTATCGGCGACGTACCACAGTTCACTGCGTATGCGATGCTACTGTCACCGCCACTGGCAGTGCCACTGTCACATCGCTGTTTCTTTGTTGCGGTTGTTATTTCGAGCCCAAGGGATTAAACTGAGCACAAGCCATGAATGTTTGCATAAAAGCATATCTTTTCAGTTTCTACACGGGAGCCTCATTCACAACGGAAAGTGAATGTACAAATGGTCCAATTATTTGTGTTTTAAAATAGGCCATAGGAGCGTACATGTGGGGGAAGTTGCTGTTATTGCACTAAAGAATGTGCGCCGTCTGAATTGTCAGAGAGTCAAGGCAGCCCTGCAGTCGAATTCATTTCCCTTTACTATTCGCTATTTTCACCCTATTTTGGTCTATTTCATGGCCAGTTGCTTTTCTGGGTTTGGCCAGCGCGTTCGACAAAACCTTCCTTCTTACATCATACATGTGCCGCTTCAGTCTTTGCGAAAGCTTCATTCTCTTGCCGAGGTAACCTTTACCACAGTCTACGCTACCAGCCGGGTGCCCGTGTGTGTACCTGACCACACGGGCTTCTATCAGCCAGTGGCGTAGCCAGGGGCTGGCACACCAAGCCCGTGCCCCCTTCCGCCAAGAAAAAAAATAATTAACATGGCATATATGTGTATAAAATAATGGTCTACCACCTACGCCTGCTCGGGCCCAACTCTAATCAAGGTGGTACCCCCTCCGAAAAAAACTTTCTGCCAACGCCCCTGTCATCCGTGACTTCAGCTCACAGGTTTAATTCCTTGCTTATAGATTACATCTATAGAATGGGCCCATAGCCACTGTCACTTCCTCTCAATGTTGTTTTAATCTACCAGTGAAAACATGGTCAGCTTCGAGAACTGATTCATCTTCTTAGAGTTTCCGTGAAATATAACACAGCTTATGAATCAAGCTGAAAAAAAAAAAAAGAAAAAAATTGACATTGGCACCTTTACTGAAGCATGAAATTGCCGTTTTGATTGCGGTACGCAAGACCTCGCAGCTTGCACATTCAAGGGCGCAAACTGACACGGCTGGCTGATCGCATTTTTATTTATCATGATTTACCCCTTTATAGAAGCTCTGGAAATGAACCAATCATTCATAATTTTCACCCATGTGTGGCTCGATGGAGGTCGAATGTGCAACGTGTGACTACCATAGAAATGTCTCTTAATAAATATTAGAACCGTGCCACAAAGAAAAGTTACAGCTTTGAATGAGGCAAGTGCTTGTGGGATTATCACGTTAGCGTGCAATCATAACAGAAAGGTTGCTGCTGCATGCGGCTGTACGAATGCTGTGTTGCTTCCCACAAAGTGCCGAATCTGCTTGGGCTGTGCTTCTTATGGCTGTGTGTTCAAAACAAAAATGTAATTTGTGCTTGCTTGTCAACCACGGCTTCTCTTTAGATGCAAAGCTACAATGAATTAAATTGCGTGGTTGTGCGCAATGGTCACAGCAAAGATAAGTTCCTTCACCATTAGTACCCATTTGGTACTGCAATTCGACACATAATGAGTTGCCGCGTTTTGCTGAGGCGGCGTGCTCTGCCCCCATGGTTTTCATTCAGGGGGCCATAGCAGACGACACCGGCATTCAGGCATTATGAG